GCTTGGCCGTATGTTGTGGGAGGAGCACCGCTGTATGCGCCAGGGATGGGCACAGCATCGTATGTTGGCTCATCCGCAGCTACGGGAGCGTGCTCGTGCAGAGTCTCAGTCTGAGGCGGTGCCGGAGACAGAGGGCTCTGAGCCTTGGGTGTGGCAGAGGGAGCCTTTGAGGGAGGAGCCTGGAGCTTGAAGGGAACCTGAGGCTTGGAGAACTGAGAGGGAGGCTCAGCAATGACCTGGGCGCTAGGAGTGAAGGTGGTCTTCTCGTCGATGCCGCCGAGGCTGCCAAAGCCGGCCGGGGCGTGGCGAGGCGACAAGGCGTACTGGCTGAGGGCAGGCGACTTGGGCGGGAACATGGCGGGCGTCATGGGCACACCTCCAATGCCAGGGGATCGCGGGAAGCCAGGGGTGTTGGGAGCGGACTGCGAGCGGAGCTGTGCCAGGTAGAGATCGGAGCGGGCGCGGTCACGGACGTCCATGGACTTGTGCAGCTGGCGCTTGGAGTAGTAGCGGTAGAAGATGACGCTGTAGAGCAGGATGCTGATGACCTCGAGCACGACCTCGATGATGATGCAGATGAGGGTCCAGTTCTGCAGGCGGCACACGAGGGAGTACTTGACCTTGTCGGCGAAGACCTCGGATCGGGTGTTTTGCACGCAGGACCATCCCCACATGTCTTTGTTGTTGCCGTTGTTCTTGGAGTTGGAGAAGACGGCGGCGGCGAGAACCCAGAGGATGAGACTGACGATGAACTGTATATGTGGTGTTAGTCTGGATTACAAGGCCAAGCATGAAGGTGAAATGACTAGTATATATACGTACCCAACCAATAGCGAAAATCGTATAGTATGTGCCAACCTTTTCAGCGCGACGATGTCCTCCACGGCAGTATGCGACAAAGACCAGAACAGAGATTGCGAGAGACAGACAGGCCATGGCGAGGACGAGCTTCTGGGCCCAGGGGTTGGTTCCGTTGGCCCACGAGGGCATCTTGCTCTGCTGGGGGAGAGACTTTGTGGCGTTGAAGATGGCAAAGGACGACGAGAGCATGGCGAGGATGATGAGGGAGCAGCTGAAGTGGACGCTTCGCAGGGCGAACTTGGCCATGCGGACGCGGACTTTGATTTTCTACAACAGAGGTTCGTGTTAGCTGTCATTCTTCTCTTCTTTTTGCTTCACAAGCTCTCAAGATAGGCATACCAGATCTCTGGCCTGCTCCTTTTCTGTCTCCTGCTCCCGCTTCTCCAGAATGTCCTCCTCGCGGAACGTGGGGCTCATGATGTTGAGTGTTCTGGCCGGTGTTCCGGGTACCCTCATGGCGCTCTTGAGGGGTGATTTTGGCATGCGGAGAGACTCGCGGTCACTGCCCGAGTTGCTGATGTAGCCGAAACCGACATCGCCAGGCTGAGAGTCGGAGGCTTGGGCGTTGGCTGGGGGGTCGGCAAAGGGCGAGACGCCGTTGTCGACGGGCGAGTGGACGGAGGTTGCCTCAGCGAAGCGAGGAGTCCGCGGGACCTTGAGCGAGCTCTCTGATGAGGAACTTGATGAGGTTCCTGTTCGGGCATGTGTGAGGTTGAGAGCGGCGGGCCGCTTCTTCTCGCCGCCAAAGTTGAAGCCTGCGGGCGTGGGCGTGTCAATGACAGCTGCGTCTGGCTGCGCTGAAGGCGGCTTCGCCTCCGGCGTCAGTGAGGACGGACCTTGGTTGTCCATGATGGACGTTTTATGTATTTTGTTTTTTTATTGGAGGGTGTGAGGGGAAATCAGATATGTTGCGGTGGTTGATGGTGTAAGTCGAGACAAGACAGTACACTCGAGAACCCAGACTCTCTCGACCCAGTCGGAGGCAGGTCTCGTAGCAATAGAAGAAAGAAAAAAGAGAGTAAGGGAATACACAACAAAAAGCAACAGTACAGTAATCACGATTGAGAAGGTGTGGCGAGTCCAGCTATCGAGGAGCAAGAAGGAGAAAAAGGGAGGACTCCAAAAGGCGTGGCGGGAGCGCAAGAGTTTTGAGGACCACGGCGACGATGCAGATGCCACGAGCTCATTCGACGAGACACGGGAAACGAGGCGCCGGTTAAAAAAAGAAACCCGCGAGACCAGCTTTAGTATAGATGCAGCAAGCTCTTTTTTCGCTTCTGCGGGAGCCCTTCTTTTCCTTTACTGGGATCTTGGGGGGCGTGTTCGAAAATGGTGAAAGGGTCCCAAAGACGGCCTCATACGATGATATTGGATGGGATGGCGGGCGATCTGATAGGCGATTGGAGGGTGTGATGCGCCCAGAGGCGTGCGCGGCTAGCCGCCGAACTGGCCAAGCTGAGATGCAGATTGGCTCTGGAGGGTCTGATTGTGCAGATTGGCGCTGTCGAGGGCGGGTCTGGCAGAGCGTGTGCCTGCGTATACTCGTACTCGCACAGGAACAATGAGCAATTTGCGTGGGTGAGATGGGAGTGAGACGATATTAGGTATACGATGTAGTGATGTAGGTGAAGTATAGAGGAGATGAGGAGGAGGAGGAGGAGAAGAAGCTCTTCGGCTACAGACAGACAAGAATCACGCAAGGCTACGGCTGCACTATTATCTCACCCAGCTTCCAAGCTCAAGCTACGGGGACCAACATCCGTCCAACTTGACTCTGCCATGTCCCCTACGAGTACTCGCACGAGTAATATTTTTTTCCTCGATTTTCCTTTTCCCTTGCTGGCGGGCGCGGGACCCGGAAGTGGCTGGCAGAACCTCGTGGTTGGTCTGTCTTCCAATTGTCAAAAAAGAGAGCCAGCACTACGTCGTCCATGCTAAACTCAACTTGTAAGCCAACAACCGCCCCCCCTTGCTAGTTTTTTTTCTCGCAGCCTCTCCTCATCGTCTCTTTTGCCTTCTTCGGCCTCACTGCAGCCCAGCAATGAAAAGCAGCGGCTTCTTTTTCTCCGCTCGACGCGCTGCAGCTGCCGCCGGAGACCCGAATTTCCAGTGAGACGAGGCCCCAGCCCGGCGCCGTGATTGGCCCAGCCCCAGAGGCACCCGCGGGCCCTTTTTAGGGCCTTTACAGGGGGGGCCTCGAGTGCTAACCAACTAATGTGCTAATGTCTCAGTGCCCGCACGTTCCTGGGCCAATCAGCGTGCCGGACGCCTGTGATGGGCGCAAGCCACTGCAGCTTGTCGGCGGCAATCAGCGATGTGGGATTTGCTGCTGCCAGGGCCCTTTTCCCGTTTTTTCCTTTTCCCTTCGCGCCCAGGTTTTGGTTCAAAGACATTTCGGTTCATGGCCAAGTGTCTTTGCAGCGGTTTATGTTGCTATTTTAAACTTGCACCCACCAATGTGCTTCAGCAGCCGCCCGCCAAAACCGGATTTCTCATTTGCCTCGCTTCAACTAATCAACTGATGCACTGATTCAGTCTTTATCTTCTTCTTATTCTTCTTCGCTTTCCATTGTCGGCACTAGAGCAGCCCGTGGCGTGAGAGCCCGACTACGCCCGTCAGCAGACGCTGACCATCCCCCACAACAGAACTTCCGTCTACGCCTTTTCCATGCCACAGCTCCGGCTCTATTCACCAGCCGGGGGTGGGCGGTCAACGGGTTTGCCCGTGTGCCGTGAGTAGAGGGTGAGTAGAGGTGTAGTTGAGCCGGAGAACCGCATACTGTATTGGCAGTATTTGTAATACCGAGATGTCCCAGATGCAAAGGCAGTGTTACAACGTACATAGTACCAGTACGACAGCTACAGCATGGGGCTGCTTGGGTTGGTGATGGAGGCGCTTTCGTGCAGCGTGATTGCGCGTGTGGCCCCTGCCGGTGCAACGAGCATCTCCATTGTCGGTTCATGGTGATGGGTGCATGCATGTCATGAGCTACAAAGTGCCCGTGCTACCATTATTATATACTTCTACTAATTCACGTCACATCAGTGTGATTAGACGGATAGTGTGAAGCTCCTCGAGATACTGTCCGTCTCCCACGCCAAGTGCCAAGCATCTGCACGGTGCGTCTCTCATCACCAACAGATCCCCAAATCAGAGCGGCGTTTCTTCATTCTTCGGCTTTGCATCGCCCCCAACTCTTGTTTCTTCCCCATCCGGGCCCGTCATCACTTTACTTGCATGACGACCCCATCTACCGGGAAAGCACCAACCGCCGGGGCACGTCATGGGCACGATCGCGTCAGCATTTAGCAAACTGCTAGAGCTGTTGCCGAGAGAAGAGCAAATGGTTAAATGGATAGCTGCCATGTGAATTCTGTAGAGCTTCCGGAAATCGGCAGCAACCTTGCTGTAGGTTCTGACTTTGCGGGCACATTACCGGCTGATATCGTATATCGTATATCATTCAACTTAACCCGGCCAATAGCCAGACGAGCGATCCTTGCTTTGGTGCACTACTAGCGGATGGAAGAGACGTAAGAATTAAATGCTGTTTTCTAGCAGTTCTTGCATCTTGATTGCCCCTTTATGTTTTTTTTTTTTTTTTTTTTTTTTTTTTTTTTTTTTTTTTTTTTCAAGGACGGCTTCGTCATGCATGCTTGTTGTTCCATGAGTGGCGTTGGAAGCTCTCTCTTACAGGGCTAAGTGAGTCAATCGCTCTCACCAAAGCCACAAAGCCATTCATGTTCAACCTGGGAATAGTGCAATTTCTAGTCCCAGGCCTTGTATTCTAATCAAGCTTTTTGAGGCGTGCATAATAGCTTGTTGTACTCCGTATTGTTTAAGGCGAAATGGGCGTCCTCTTTTTTTAAAGTAAGAACAGCACAGTCTGAGTACAGTATGATTAACTGAGCTCAAGCGGCCGATTGCACTCCACGGCCGACGCAGTCTTATTACACCTTGAACTTCAGCGAAACCGTTATCGACCCAACCACGGCTCAGCCTTGCTCTAGCAGGATTACGGCCCCTTAACAAGGCCTGCCCTGAGCTTACGAACTGAATCATCATACCTGGGAGACTGTACAAAGCAGAGAAAGAGATATATGGATTGCTATTTGACGGGATATGCTTCGCCTTCCCAGAACTCTGTCAAGTTTTCCAACGATGGACGATCGTTTGGATCGACTTTCATGCAACTTTCCACGATTTTGATCCAATGGGATGGGAGGTCGTTCTTCTCTGTCCAGGTGACCTGAACATCATCGGGGTGATCAATGTCGTCAAAGCTGTTGGCTATCTGGCTCAGAAGCATCCACATGGTCCTCCCTAACGCAAACACCTCTGCCAGCTCAAGAGCTTTAGGACAACTCACTTGCCACTCTGGAAAGACATTCCAAACATTGAAGCTCTCCTTTCCACTGCCCTCCGGCATATTCCGACGTTCTGGGCCCGTATATTTGGTGTAGACCAGCTTTGTCGATCCCTTCTCCTTCATATCATGTTCTTCCACGTCCCAGGTCCCGTCTGCCTCGGGGGCAAGTGTAGTTGTTGGTGCACCGTTTTGCTCCCAGTCAATAAGGATCAGGTTCCCTTGGTCGTCAATAATGAAATTCCCGGGCTTGATATCCATGTGGAAAGTATGCGCGACCCTGTGAGTGTGCTCTATCGCCAGACACATTTGATGACACCATTTAGCTTTTTGCTGCAAGGAAATCTGCGATTCTCTTGCATTGGCTGCTTCAATTGCGTTACCAAGATCACCCCCAGCGAAATAAGTCGATAGATGACCAACAAGCACGGGGTTCTGATTGGAGTCGCGAACCGATACCAGGTTCAGTGGTGGCGATTGGATGTTTGGGTGGCGTGGCATGTTTGCGATTAGTTTGCTGGAGCATCTCCAAACATCGACCGTGGTGCGGGCAAATTCGTCGTCGTCATCGTGAAGTTGCAGGTATGTTTGAAAATCAATTCCTTTGAAGACAAGCGTCGATAGTTTCCCTGCATCTTGGAACTGCACCCGCTTGGAGCAGCCTCTGCCGCCCAATGCCTCGAGTAGGGCAATCTCGGACATGTCAAGAATACGAGGAGAATGGCCCTGAGCGACCAAGTCGCTTGGCTGGATATCACGAAGTAGCGTGAGATATTGATCAAAGAGTGGTTCTTGGTAAGCTCTCCAGACAATCTCCTGGGCCTCTCCAGGAATGATATCAACTACAATACCGGGGTCGACAATTGCGAGGTCCATGATGCAATGAGGCCAAATCGTGGCTATGGCAGACCATAGAGCGCTTCGCATTGAGTTGCGATTCTGGAAAGTGAATGCCCCATCCGGTACCTCGAGGTCGTGATAGCAGCAGACAATCCGGCTGGGCAATGACTGGGGCAAGCTGTGTTGGCTCCGCTGGAAACGGAAGATTATTGCCTTTCCTTGTCCCAGTGCTTGGGCATAAACAATGGTTTCGTCTTCGTCGCCCCAGATGCTGTCGGGGGTAACGCCGAGCGCTTCGAGGGCTTGTCCTTCTCCCATAATCATTCCGACGTTCAAAATTGAACAAGGGTTGGTTTAAGCGGATGAGAGTTAATATTGATCGGTCAAGCAAACGACAAAGGAAAATTTGGCAGGGTAGGTTGTTGGCCGAAGCTGAGCAAAGCATAAAGTAGGTCTACACAGGCCAGGTAATGGTATGAGCAGGCTGAACCCAGGCTGCAATTTAAGTGAGGCTCTGCAAAAGCCCCTCCCTCCAAAGTGAAGATCTCGACAAATACTGGACAACATGCCCAGAGACACTTGACAACGAGGAAGCGAGGAGAACGGCCCTAACCAGGAGCAGAGTTGGATGAAGCAAGGTTGAGAGAACCTGGAGCTCTAGAAGCTGCAAAGCTAGGAGATGAAGAGTCAGCCATAGTTCTTGCTGGGATCGTAGTTGAACAAGATTAATTGATGGAAAGAAAAGTCGACTTAACATATGAAAAATGATAACTTAACAATATCAATCTTGGAATATAGTTGCAATACCATCGTCACATTTATATGGAAAGCCAAATTTCACTATTTACGATACAGTACTGTACTCAGCATAGAGAAAATGAAAAGAGAAACAGTGCCTCTTGCACTAGCCACACGAGCCACATCATTGCCCCGCCTGACCTTGTAAAGTTGTTCTAACAAAACAGGGACACCCATTTCGCCTTTGATAGTAAGTCATCTGCTAAAGAGAATATGAAAACATTCGAATTCCCTGCGTTTCCATTATAAAGAGGGAGCCTCTCGGATACACGAGTGTACAGCTGTGGCTACAACCAAGTATGACTTGACAAATTTCATCTTCCTCACCCAACACTTTGCATTCAGTTTGAGTCATCAAATACCCTCTTTTTGAACACTACTTCCGTAGGTATCAGGAATGTCGCCGCCTTTGATAGCTCGACGGATCAATCAGCCTTTCTGTAGTGACTGAGTCATTGATTGGATTCTGTTGAGCTGCGTCGACTAGAGCATGCTTCTTGATGGCGGCAGCCTTTGGTGCAAGTTGACTGTAGTAGAAACCGATGTTGGCCATTATGACCTCGTTCTTTGCAAGCTTAAACTTGCAGTGCTGTCGAGTACCTAACTGACTACAGACAGGTAGGTACCTGGTAGTATAGAACACTTAGAGAGCTATAGCGAGATTCAAAACAAGTCCAGTGCCTTTCATCTGCCTCCTTGCTATAGTACCTACCCGGTTCTTCTAATAACTGCTACTATCGCTACTTTTTCCAGTATCTGCTACTATCGCTATTTCTTCTAAATGAAAAGGTACTAGTGTCAACTTGGGGTGTTGGTTATCAATTCTTGAACTTTATTGCTCAATCATTTAGCCATTGGCAGAGAAGCTCGGTATTTTAACTTTTATTCTCCTTTTTTCCCTTCGTGATATATAGCTTTTCCCGTTATTATGACTCGAATCTCTCAACAAGTGTTCACTGCCATAATCAGCCTTGCAATGGAGCTCAAAGGCTCAGAGAGGGGCTCGCCGAAATCTGGCTGTGGAGGGGCAAGAATCCTTATCAGTTTATCGTGCCCAACCCGGTTTAGCGTAAGAGTCATCATGCTGCACACGATGAATTTTGACCACTCGACGGCGAAATGGCTGCTTGTGCAAACCTCCGCAACTTTATAGCGACCAAAACCGTGTAGGCACTTGGCCGTTTCCCTATAAATCTTGGTTGCTATCCACGTGAGCTCCCTTGCTCCCCTCCATATATCGAATCTCGCCAATTCTTGAACCCCTTTGCAGAAATACCTAGCCCCGAACCTCCCCCAGCAGCAATCTGCCCCGCCCCGTCACAATGTCTGACGACCCCAAATACGACGATATCCAGTCCGACTCCGACTCTGGAGAGTCCATCGACGCCCAGGACAACGTCGAAGTCGAAGAGAAGGCCCTCAAGCCGGCGCTGAAAAAAGTCAACCCCGTCATCCCCAACCAGGCGGCCGTAAAACCCCCGCTGCCCCCACAGACCGATCCCAAAGATCTCGATGTTTCCGTCCTGACGCCCCTCACGCCCGAGATTATTGCTCGCCAGGCGACCATCAACATCGGCACCATTGGCCACGTCGCTCACGGAAAGTCGACCGTCGTCAAGGCCATTTCCGGCGTCCAGACCGTTCGATTCAAGAACGAGCTGATCCGTAACATCACCATCAAGCTTGGATACGCCAACGCCAAGATCTACCAGTGTGACAACGCCGCCTGCCCTCGTCCGGGATGCTACCGAAGCTACGGCAGTGAGAAGGAGGTCGACCCCCCTTGCGAGAGAGATGGCTGTGGCGGCACATACCGATTGCTAAGACACGTCTCGTATGTCCCCAACTTCTCCCCCCCTTGCCCTCTTCAGTTGGAGGATGGTAGAATAAAAGATTTATATATTCCCTAATGTCTAACCTCTTCCAGATTTGTCGACTGCCCTGGTCACGATATTCTCATGAGCACCATGTTGTCAGGAGCCGCTGTCATGGACGCAGCCCTTCTTCTCATTGCAGGCAACGAATCCTGCCCTCAGCCCCAGACCTCAGAACATTTGGCCGCCATTGAGATTATGAAGCTGGAGAACATCATCATCCTTCAGAACAAGGTCGATCTGATGCGAGAGGAGGTTACCCAGCAGCACTATGAGTCGATCCTCAAGTTCATCCGTGGAACTGTTGCCGAAAAGTCCCCCGTCGTCCCCATCTCTGCCCAGCTCAAGATCAACGTTGATGCTGTTCTCGACGCCATTGTCCACACCATCCCCGTGCCCGTCAGAGACCTCACCATGGAGCCCCGCATGATCATCATCCGTTCCTTCGACGTCAACAAGCCCGGTGCTGAAATTGATGACCTCAAGGGTGGTGTTGCTGGTGGCAGTATCCTGCACGGTGTCCTCAAGCTTGGCGACGAGATTGAGATCCGTCCCGGTATCGTCTCACGCGACAACAGCGGTGCCCTCAAGTGCACTCCCCTCTTCAGCAAAGTCATCTCCCTCAACTCAGAGGGCAACGACCTCAAGTACGCCGTGCCCGGTGGTCTGATTGGTGTCGGTACTCAGATCGACCCTACCCTTTGCCGTGCCGATCGTCTGGTCGGTTTCGTCCTGGGTCTCAAGGGCAAGCTGCCCGACATCTACAGCGAAATCGAAATCAACTTCTACCTTCTCCGACGTCTGCTGGGTGTCAAGACTGCGGATGGCAAGCAGGCCAAGGTCGCCAAGCTGGCTAAGAACGAGGTCATCATGGTCAACATTGGTTCCACATCCACCGGTGCCAAGGTTGCCGCCATCAAGAACGATGCCGCCAAGCTGGTCCTGACTAGCCCCGTCTGCACAGACATTGGTGAGAAGGTCGCCCTCAGCCGACGTATCGACAAGCACTGGCGTCTTATCGGATGGGCCACCATTGCTGCGTAAGTTCACCCATCCTCTTTTTTTTATTAAGCCTTGAAACTCCCCTTCCCCTTTTTTTGATTAAGCCTTGGAGCTAACATGTATTGTTTTTTTAGTGGTGTGACTCTGGAGCCCAGCTCAGCGTAAGCGTAGAGTCGGAAAAAAGAACTTGTCTATATAGCGATTTTATTATGGAATTTGGGCTGGAAGCTACGCCTAGGGTATCTCTTTAATAGGGTTAAGGCAGCTTTTTTATTCTATAGCTAAAAAAAATTTCAAATTACCCCGAGACGAAAGGTATATATCACTTGATACCTAGTAGTTAAAAATATCTGAAAGAGTAGGCAGCGGTGCCAGGGTAGAGAGGCATATTAGGTTCAATATCAAGTTCATATCCAAAGTATTCTACCCCATAATATACCTATATATATTGCTAGTAGCTATAGTAACTCTAGTTGTTCTAGTATCTGCTACTATTGCTACTTTCGCTACTATCGCTATTCCCATCTACTGCTGGGCGGTATTAGTAAGGGACATGTAGCTGAGGATAGCCGATCCCACAAGATCTAAGGGGCGAGGGCAACACAGAGTGACGGGCATGGATATTGGGACAAGATGAGATGTAAACCACTACGAGACTAATTGACTTGGAAATTTGATCATCCATAATATATATATATCATGCAAATCTACTTGCGTACTTTACGGGCATGTGCTACCAAGTTTTCTATAACCCCTTCAAATGCCTCGCGATCCCCAATCTTTTCGTCCGTCCGTTTTGTCCAGTAATCTAGCACGTCTTTTGCCGCCCCCTGCATGGCCTCCAACTTGGCCACATGCTGTTTCAGCTCCTGATCTGTCATACCGTCCAGAGCTTCATCCGTCGTCTGGCAAAGGTGCTTCGCTACCACCAAATCCAACTCTGGCTGAGGTGGCGGTCCTTTCCTCCTCTTGGACGTCGACGGCTTGCCCTGAGAGTCTATCGATGTAGACGAAGCATTTCCGTCGCCTTGTTTTAGTCTTGTCGCCGATCGCAAGTCGCTTGACCCTCTAGGTGAGGCTGATGGGATATTGAGAGACGGCAGCACAAGCTTCTTCTGCTTGGAGGCTGGGAGGATTTCATCTAAATCTACGGGAACCCCAAGAGAGACGAGGAATAGGCGGCGGGTCCGCGAACGAATCCAATCGGGCGGTGCGAGGGGTGGGGGAGCGACGAGCTGGGACCATAGGGAGGCGGAGCGTGGTGTAAGGAAAATGGAAGAGTCTTTTGATAAATGCGGAAAGGGTTGAAAGTCGAGTTCTTCGGGAGGGAAGAGGTTTGGTAAACACGGTTCTACTGCGGAGATGACTTCATCCAGGCTCAGCCCATCGAAGTCGGGTATCGACTGCAAGAATGTTAGCGCTGAATGGGGAGGAGGGCTTAACATGGGGAGGAAATAGACATACAAATGGTAGTGATTGTTGTTGGGGGATTGGTGGAGGCGCTGGTGTCGTGGCCGTCGGCTGGGGGTGTTGAAAGTCATCCTCAAAGTCATCAAAGTCGTCGTCATGACCACCCTCCTCGAAGTCGTCGAAATCATCTCCGAAATCGTCGACCTCTTCTTCAGCTGCTACCTCATCATCTGCTTCTTGGTTTTGTGTGGCCAAGACTGTTGGTTGGGAAGATGCGAGGGAGTCCCTCCTAGAGCGGCCTGAAGAGGAGACGGGTGAAAGAGGAGCCTCTTTGGCTCGGTCAGTCGCTGTCCTGCTTAAAGTGTTCGGGGCCGTTTTGGTATACACACCTGAGATTGCGTCTTCATTGCCACTTCTTAACTCGCCATTTGGGCTCAATATTATATCAGGGGTAGCATCAGCCTTGTGCTTCTCTTGCTCCTCTGGGTCGTGCTGGCCAGGGTAATCGCCAGTGGATTCTTCCACAAGTGTGACGGGAACAGTGCCCGGTTCCAGAGGAGTAGAAGGTGAGGACTCGGGGTCGTTTTCGGGTATCATGGCAATCTCATCAGGCTCAGCATCTTGCTCTCTCTTCTTGTATGCCTCGGTGCCAGGCACCTCTCCATATGCGGGCTCATTGTCGACCTTTTCCACTCTCGTCTTGGGGACCGGCGAGCTAACGCCAGGACTGGTGGGTGCAGACTGTGCGTCTGTGAACTGGTCCTCCGAGTCTGAAGCTTCAGCTATTGTAAAATGTCAGCAAGGCTCCAACACGACATGCATGTCCAATATCCAGAAGAAAGGCATACCCAGCTGATGGGCCCCCGGGTCCTCGACGTGGGTCTGTGGCGGGGGTTCAAGTTCCCGGGAGTCCGTCATTGCTTCGTGCTGGCACTCTCTAAAGCTGGGGAACTATTGGCAAATCGGTTCAGGGGGGTATCTGGATCTGGGATTCGATTCGTGGAGGGCGAATATCGGGTATGTAGTTGAAAGCAACGGGGGCTAGGTCCTATGTCGGCGTCGAGGCCAGGTGCATCGGCGTCTTCAGGACATGCCGTTTGCACGGTGGTTTGGCCGTGTGTGTCTGTACTCGTCTGGGCTTGAAGGGGGGGAAGGGCACAATGTCTAGCCAGGAAATGAGGGTGTCTGAGTCGTTGCCAGAGTTAGTAAGTCGACTCTAGTAATATCATACAAGTAGCATGGAGCTCTCGACAGGCGGTGCTTGCGCTATCGTCACGTGGAGAAGGGACTAATTATGACAATATGTGGCTAGTGATATAACTTCTGTGGCTGGAATTACGTGAAAAGGTCCCCTCAGCCACAGCACGGCTGCGCGCTCTGGCCTAAGCTTCCCAAGAAAACAGAACCGCGAAAAAAGCACCTAGTCAAGCGTCAGCCTTGGACCACTCAGATCTTTGTTTTCGTTTTCTTCATCTCGAACCCGAACCATCGCAGGGGGAGCTGTCGGCAATTTCACGCAGCCTCCAATTCCCTGACCCCATCTTGGCTGAGCTTAGGGATATCATGAAAGCCTGCTGAATCTCCTTATTCACAAAGTAGTTGCCTCGCGCCCATCACGACCGCCGACGATTCAAACAAGCACAAGATAAACCGTGCCAATCGCCATGTCTGGTGGTTTCAGCTTTGGAACCCCGAGTTCCACGGGTGCCGCGCCCAATAGCACCACCAGCACAGCGCCAGCCGCAGGTGGTCTGTTCGGCACTGCTCCTGCTTCTGGAACGCCCAAGTTTTCCTTTGGAAACACCACAACTCCTGCCACCAACCCTCCCGCAGGTTTGTTTGGAGGCCAGAACGCCGCTGCGCAGAAACCAGCTGGTGGCGGCCTCTTTGGAGGAGCTGCCGCTTCTTCAGCTGCTGCTACTCCGGCAGGAACCCTGTTTGGAGGAGCCTCGACGACTCCGGCAACAAGTGGCCTCTTTGCCGGCGCAGGCAGCGGAGCGTCTACTACAACAGGCGGCATGTTTGGCGGCGCGACAACCAGTACGGCACCATCCACTGGTGGTCTATTTGGCAACAAGAATGCATCGACCACTCCCTCGACTGGTGGTTTGTTTGGAAACAATGCCAGCAAGACTACAGCTGCACAGACAACTCCAACGCCTGCTCCAACCAGTGGATTGTTTGCAAACACCAACTCTGGACTCTTTGGAAACAAAACTCCGACTACTGACTCTCAAGCGCCTACTCCGGCTACTGCTAGCACTGCTGCTACTGCAACTCCCGCCAAGCCCTTGTTTTCTCTGCCATCGACGACGCCCGCCGGTGTACCGCCAGCCAAGACTGCAACCACAAACTTGTTTGGAACCACTGCCAACACTGCTTCATCGGGTGGTTTGTTTGGAAACAAGCCTGCTGCCACCTCGGCCGCGACAGAGAAGCCCGCAGCAGCTGCTACATCAGGATCAGGGCTGTTCAGCGGTGGAACTCAGTCGTCTACGAGTGGCTTGTTCGGCGCCAAACCTGCTGCCACAACCGCCGCCGCACCCAAAACCACAGGACTGTTTGGGAATACCGCAGCTACCACTGCACCATCCGCAACTACTGCGGCTCCGGCCACTGCTGGAACAACTACATCTCTCTTTGGAGCCAAACCAGCAGCTACCACGACCCCGGCGACACCTGCGGCAGGTCTCTTCGGCACAACCCCTGCTGCGACCACTACCTCCGCAGCTTCTGGGTCTACCCAAGCTCCCGCTGCCGCTGGCGGTTTGTTTGGACTAAAGCCAGCTGCTGCCACAACTACGACTTCATCATCAGCGGCCCCAACGACTGCCACAGCCGGAAACCTCTTTGGCACGACTACTCCAACCACCACTGCCACCACAACCAAACCGGCTACTTCCTTGTTTGGTACCACGGCTGCTGCTGCTACTACTCCAGCTGCAGCCACCACCGCTACAGCAACACCGGCGACCACGGCAACCACGGCTGGTGGCTTATTCGGAGCCAAGACCGCTGGTGACAAGGATGCAGCAAAGACTGCTACCACGGCAGGCACAACTAGCGCATTGGGCGCTTCCACTACCGGCCCCCCCTCTCAGATGGCCCGGCTGAAGAATAAGACCATGGAGGATATTGTCACCCGGTGGGCTTCAGACCTGTCCAAATACCAGAAGCAGTTCAAGGACCAGGCTACCGTGGTGTCCAACTGGGACAGAAACCTGGTGGACAACGGTGAAAAGATCCAGAAGCTGTATCTGGACACTTTTGAAGCAGAGCGGGCCAGCCATGAGATTGAGCGCCAACTCGCTGCTGTAGAGAGCCAGCAGGAGGAGCTGGAGGCCTGGCTGAACCGTTACGAGTCAGAAGTCCAGGACATGTTTGCTAAGCAGATGGGCCCTGGCGAGCAACTTGGAGGACCTGACCAAGAACGCGAGCGCACCTACAAGCTTGCGGAGAAGCTCACCCAGCAACTCGATGAGAAGTCGCGAGACTTGTCCAAGATGGTCAAGGAGATTAACGACATCTCGGGAACTTTGAGCAAGGGAACCAAGGCTGAGGACCCGGTAAGTTTTACTGCGAATCTTATCTCAACAAAACAAGTATTTGCTAACAGCATGATGCAGCTGAGCCAAATTGTCCGCGTGCTCAACAGCCATCTTACGCAGCTGCAATGGATCGATGCCAACTCGTCAGCCCTGCAAGCCAAGGTCACGGCAGCGCAGAAATCCAGCAGCAATATGGGTAGCCACTACGGAAGCGGAGAGAGCGATGTGGCGGAGAGCTTCTATAGATCTTACATGGGACGGAGGTGAAGCATTCATTGGACATTGGTGATTGAAATTGGAGTTCCGGGATGGTATCAGGAAAGAATGAATCTAATAAAGGCTTTTTTTTTTTTCGCGCACATTCAACAGGGGACATACTCTGGTGGAACACAGACACTGGAGTAGCTCTTGTTTTTTTCCTCGTCTTATATAATTTGTTTTGTTTTTGTTTTTGTAAGGTGGAGAAGAGTTCATGTAGCTGTACAGTACCTAGGTAGAGGCAACAGGGAAAATACGCAGCATATCAAGACAATGTGTAGCGCAATTCGGCCTCCAGACGAGTTGTTTGCTCCCAAACTTCAGTTTGAACTGCTCAGTTAACGGCCCGCATGAACCAACATGAATGGGTTATGTCTTCTTAGTTTTTCTCATTGTGTCTTTTTCCCCCTTCTTTTTAGTTCTGCTCGCCACCCTGATCCTTGGTGATCTCATCGCTAAGAAGGAGCCCAGTTCATTAGTATTGGGAGGCGGGGTCAATTGGGGGTGAACGAGGAGGGATGCTGCGCATACATGTGCTTGGCAAGGCGGTCGAGGTGCTCTTGCTGCTCAGTGAGCTTCTTGCGGAGCTCGAGGAGCTTTTCCTTCTCGCGCTGGCGGATGGCGTAGTCCTCGGAGGCCTTTTCGCGGCGCTGGAAGGCGTCGCTGTGGACGGATTGCGAATAAGCGTTAGATGACGGTCTTTTTTTCTTGTTTGACTTGGCTGCGTTGAATTGGGGATGAGCGTAAAGAGAGATTGTCACTTACCCAGGGCCGCCGGTCTTGGGGGGAGCACCAGTGTCGCCTTCGCTCATGGCGCGGGCAGTGGTGGTGAAAGCGGCGCGCATGGGACGGAGGGCAGCCGTCTTGGTGAGGGTTGTGCGGAGCATCATTTTAGGATGGTGTTGTTGTTTTGTGGTGGCGGAAAGGAATTCGAGGTGTACGGGTTGCTGGGGGAGGTTGGAAGGAGAGAAATTGAGCGTGGGGGGAGGAAAAAGTGAGGTTATAACTGGTTGCTGTCGCAATTGGAGCTTTTGGCCTGAGGAGCTGAACTGCTGCAGAGGAACAGCTACTAACTCGGGAGTGGCCTGAGGGGCTGAGCGTCATAAGCCGGCAATCCAGTGGTTCGATGGGCTGTGAATCGGGAATAGTGCCGTTGCCGCTTTTCTGGGGGCTTGTGGGGAGCTGCGATTCTTCTAGATGGGAATCGAAAAAATGGCAATCATGAAGCGAGGCTATTGTATAGGCTATAGGTAACTTTTATTGGGAATTAAACATTTAATTATAAGATTGACAAATGTGCAAGTGATGGGTATCAGATTGATCAAGCTAACTGTCTAGTTGTAGGAGCAATATTGCAGCTGGCAAGTACTATTAAAGTGCCAAGTAGAGCACAAAGCACCAGAGACGAGCTTTGTGTTGGAATCGCCAAGAAAGCAAAATTACTTCATCCCACAAAACAATCGATTCCCGTGATGCGGAGCCGGTCCAATCTCAGAATCGTACATCACGATACGATCAGATAATGCGGTGGACTGATCGGATGCGTTTGAGTTAGACTGGAGAGCAAGCAGCTGATGTGGATGCCGGGATATTTCGGTACGGATGGCTACGTACATGCTCCGTGACGTGTAGAATCAAAAAGAAGAACCTGGCTGAAAGCATTGAAACTCTCTTTTGGGGGTTAAGGGTGTCTGAAGCAGACCACTTGCCACTCACAGCTATGGGATGTGTTTCTTTTACGGAGGCTCGAAGTGGTTAACTTGACTATCAAGTCTTCTCTCGTGCTTAATACCTACTATAGGTACCTAGTTGCAGATGCCAGAAGACGGTAGCCATACCAGCAGATGGATGAAAAAGCTATTAGGTAAAAGGCGCCTCTTTTGCATTTCACCGTGACATTTACTACTGTAGCCCTCTAAAATTCTGCTCATCACCAACTTCTTTTACTTACTTTATCCATCTGCTGAGCATTGTTTCCCGGGTAAGTACTGGGATTGCTCATGATGACCCATATGAAGCATCGTCTTTCTGCTTACTAAGGGATCACGGCTCAGCACAGGAGGTGCTGTGGAAATGAAGACCCAAGGAAGTATGATGTAATGCTAATTTTACCCATGGCATCAACTTGGTTGGGCTGATCAAAGGTGCCACGCCCTCATTGCCACTAGACACTAATACTTTAGTTGTTTAGGTAGTAGGTACGAGAGTTACTCTTGATATTTGCTTGGCTGACAGAGAGGTTAGATTCTCTCCAACGCATCTCAGAGTGGGGATGCGCAAGGAGCTGGATTGCCGTCCGGGATCAAAGGAAATGAGTCCCAGGTTAGTAGTTCGCTGCCGACAATTTGGAAGAGCCGCGTGACTGGAATTCCAGAACCTCGTCTTACTCTTACCAATGGCTGGCACAAAGAGAGAGAGAGGGAGCGATGCGAATTGGTTGCAATGCCATTAGGCAGCCACCGCGGCGAATGAACAGGCTCTGGATCGTGATGTGCCATCTGATGCGCAAAGCCAAAGCCAAAAGCAAAAAGGCAACCAAGGCACAAAGCGATGACGACCCGTCACCACTCGCTTTAGGACTAACTTGCTAACCCACCAGTAATACCAGACGTCAACGCCACCCACTTGGCGCAACCAGGTCTCAGTTCAGTTGGTGCTATTGCTCGTCCTTGCATTTGCAGGCTCTTGGGCGCCCCCATGCTCCCTGTACTGTACCGGCAGGGCAGCCTGTACCTTGCCTTGGTACCTGTTCTCAGCACTGTGACGTGATGGGGGGAGACAGGGCAGGTTAGCAGGTTTGAGTGACGGTACCTGGATGTACGAGATTAGCAGGCCATTTATTCCATTTGTACGCGTAGAGGGGCGGCATCCAAGTACCCACAGGTTCCTGTACTTTGCCCGCCTGAGCCCTGAAAAGGGTGAGGCTCCTCCGGCACGTGAGGCCCATGGGCAAAGCGCTCGACAACCGCTATTCGCTACCTATTAGGACGCTTGAATCAATGCGCTGGCTAACGGGGACCCGACCTCAGCAACAGCTTAAATCTTGCAAGTTCCATTTCCTTTCTCTCCCTCTCAACGAAGCATCAAACCCCCCCCTTTCCCAGAACCGCGTCTCATCGTACGTACGTATCTCTCCCGCCCTCTGCATCCCGCCAAACTCTGCATCCCTCTCCTTTTGCCCTCGACAGCAGCCCATCCTCTCCCGCCCTGATAGCATTCCCGCCTCGCTATGTGAGCGCCTTATGGCATGGCGCGCGCCCCTCCTCGCTGTCGTCATGGCCGGGCAACCCCCCGGGCACGCAAGAGGCAGCGCTTCTAGAGCCGTCAATCGCGTTGGGACCGAGCAGCTGCTTGCGACTCTATCAGCGCTATTGGGCCCTGGAATCGGCCTTGATCCCGTCGCTCGGAGGCCTGTGTGGCCGTCGCGGTAGCTGGCGCATTCGCTGTTAAACCCCTTTGGTGGGGTTTAAGGAGCGGGGGAGCAAGCCTCACTTGGGCCTCGTTGTAGAGTCAGCCCTGCGGCACTTGTTCCTGCCACGGTGCTCTTTTGCGCAGGATTTACCTTGATCTTGATGAGGCTGTGGCTGCTGCCTTGCTCCCCTTGCACTGAGATTTTTTTTTTATTCTTCCCATTCCCCCTTGTGAAATCCTCGCCCCTAAACGCTCGCCTATTTCCCCGATCCAACTCTCTCACTTTCTGTGTTACGCCATCTCCGACGCGTGCAACCCGCTGACTGATTGAGACCAGCTGCCATAAAAAAAATCCAAAAAATCAACCAAATCTACCGTCAAAATGGGTCACGAAGATGCTGTTTATCTGGCCAAGCTCGCCGAGCAGGCCGAGCGATATGAGGGTTCGTTGCTCGCTTTTCTCTCCCCCCGATCGATCGCGCTGACCGAGGTTTCCCAACAGAGATGGTTGAGAACATGAAGATCGTTGCCTCCGAGGACCGCGACCTGACCGTCGAGGAGCGCAACCTCCTCTCCGTCGCCTACAAGAACGTCATTGGCGCCCGCCGTGCCTCCTGGAGAATAGTCACCTCTATTGAGCAGAAGGAGGAGTCTAAGGGCAATTCTTCCCAGGTCACCCTTATCAAGGAGTACCGCCAGAAGATTGAGAACGAGCTTGCCAAGATCTGCGACGATATCCTCGAGGTCCTTGACCAGCACCTGATTCCTTCTGCCAAGTCCGGAGAGTCCAAGGTCTTCTACCACAAGATGTGCGCATACCGTGTTGCTCCCAATGCTTCCGTGTGTCGAATTGAGCTAATTTCTTCTTGCACCATCACAGGAAGGGTGACTACCACCGTTACCTTGCCGAGTTCGCCATTGGTGACCGCCGCAAGGACTCCGCCGACAAGTCTCTCGAGGCTTACAAGGCTGCTACCGAGGTTGCCCAGACTGAGCTGCCTCCTACCCACCCTATCCGCCTGGGCCTTGCGCTGAACTTCTCCGTCTTCTACTACGAGATCCTCAACGCCCCTGACCAGGCTTGCCACCTCGCCAAGCAGGCATTTGACGATGCTATTGCTGGTAAGTTTACTCATTTGAGAGGGAAAAGAGCCAATTCCGTTGGCTGCTCTAATTGATAGTCGCTGACGCACCCACCGCAGAGCTCGACACTCTTAGCGAGGAGAGCTATAAGGATTCTACCCTCATCATGCAGCTGCTCCGCGACAACCTGGTACGCATTTCCCCCCACCCTCATAATTGATTGTACATCTTTTACTAACTCGTTTATCAAAGACCCTCTGGACCTCTTCTGAGGCCGAGAACACTTCTGGCCAGGCCGATGCCCCCGCCAAGGAGGAGACCCCCGCTGAGGGTGCTCCCGCTGAGGAGCCCAAGGCTGAGTAAACTCAGTTAGGGGAGCGCGGGATGAATCTCTAGGCTTTGGTCGCTTTGGTATCGGATGGGCTGGTGTCTACGGAGTGGATGGAAGACTTCGTTTTTGATCAAGAGCTTCGGCATCGTTTAGGTAAACACGCAACTTTCGGGGAGAGAACCGGTTTGGTTCCCCCTCAACGGACTGGCAGGGAGGATTGAAGAAGAGCATATTGGAGGTTCTGCTTTTAGACTCTTGATGCGTAGCCGTCTGGACAAATAAAAACTACTAAAATTGCTTTTTAATATTATTTTACTTTTTACCAAGCAGCCTTTACACATGCTTGCTGATGGACCTTCTGAAAACGCCCTGCTAATCACATTCACACTTGGTTCTTGCCACGAGTTTTGTGGCATATGCTACAATAAAGTCAACTTGGCTCCTTTTTATTTGGCGTCGACGGATGACTGTCATCTGCTTCTTCCATAACTGCAAAGTGAACTTTAAGCCAAAGGCTGCAGTCGTGGCAGCCAACCATGAGCACCCCCTCGTGCTCGACCTCTTCTAAATCTGACTCCTGAAAGGAATACCCGCGATCATTGCCACAGCGACAGGATCTATACCAGCGCTCTTCCCCTTCGTCGAACTGCAAATCATCCAAGTCGACGTTTTCGATGCCTGTTTGAAAACGGGCGTGGGAGCCGTCACTTTTAGCCCTGGTGAGACGGAGATTGGCGTCGTAGGTGCTGCGCTGGTGAGGTGATGAGAGGACTGTGAAGGCCTGTGTAATTTGATCTATTGTATAGAGCTGAGAGGGTGATGAGGCTGATAATGAGATCGCGGGAGTGGCAGCAGCAGCCTTGTCGGGATGGTGACGGAGGAGGGCCCTGCGATAGGCTTGCTTTATGAGTGTGGAGGGGTCATGTTGGGAGTTGAGGATGGTGGGGGTGAGGCCGAGGATTTCGTAGTGAGACGGCGAAGAAAGGGCCATGAGTTGTTAAAATATTAAATATAATGTAGATGCTTATACGATTTATGTGTTTCTATACATGGCTTTGGATGCTTGTGTTGAAAAGATACTTGAGGCGGCAAATTTAGACATGTCGAAATCACGTGATGCTAACGAGCCTTTGTTTCTATAGGCAAGACATGATGGAAAGGCTGAATCAGGCACGGGAAAAGGGAAGCAGAGAGAGTGAAGTGAATCTGGATATTCGTTTCTCATTGTTGTACATAGAAATACACGGCGCATGTACATATTCGCCGGGATAAAGTGGTTTTTTTCCTGCATCATCTCGTTTATTTCGGAAACTTGGTCCAGTTTCTCTTCCCGATCTGTTGTGTTTCTAGGTCAGCTATACTGCGTGGCTTGTAGTAAATCGGTACGAGAGGGATAGATTCTTACACTTTTCCAGGCCCGGATGAGTCTGGGCATATCCAGCATGGCTTTTCTCCTCTGTTCCATCCTGGAAGGTGGTGTTAGTCTCCAGTGGTCTAATAACACGAAGAAGATGGACAAGAAGATGATTGACGTACTTTGCAATCATGTGTCGTTCGTGGATGTGACCCTTGACCTTCTGTCCCACACCCGTACCCTTGACTCTCAGACCATGCTCAACACGATGAGCCAGCTGGTATTCGGTGCCCTTGGTCGTCTCCGGCAGCAGCTCTTCAACGCCGTGCTCCCGCGCAAGCTTGACGAGATGCGCCTGTCTCCGCTGCGAGTAGACGGGATCCTGCCATCTCCCAGTCACGGGGTGCTTGTAGAATCGAAAGGGATTCGGCCGTTGCTCCTGGAACGGCGTCGGAGCAGTGCCGGGTGCGACGAGCGCCGCGGGCGGCCAGCGCGCAAAGAAGCGCTGCAGCGGCTCTGGGAGGCTCTTTGCGAGCTGGACGAAGTTGGAGGGAGAGGCCATGGGCGCTATGAGGTGCCAGACGCTGGCATTGGCCTGGTTCGGGAGAAAGAGGGCGGAATGGCAGGGCGGTTCTCCCGATATGAGCTGATCGCGGGGAGGTTCTTTTTTAGAGGTTCCTAATTAGAATTCGATTTCGAGATTCCCAAGGCTGAGCATCCACTAAACAAGACCCACTGATTCTTATAGATCCTATTGGCTATTAATCATTGAGTGGGTCGGTAGCTCTCCATAATCCATAGCCTTGCCTGCTTCCTGCTTGCCCAAGATCATTCTGGAATTGGTTTCACGTCAGAAACTAATTACTGCAGGCTTTTCATTTTTTTTTCTGTACCCTTCCTATCCTTTTATCTCTTGAACATACAAACAGATATGCCCCTCGATATAGAAGAGATCCTTCGAAAAAAGAAGGCGGCTGATGCTGCTGCGGCCAAGCCCAGATTCATCCCCAAGGCGGAACGCGAACGACTAGCAGCCGAGAAGGCGAAGCAAGAGGAAGAAGAGAAGAAGCGCAAGGCCGCCGACGATTCACAAAAGCGACTACAGGAAGAGAGAAAATGGGAATCCCGCGCAAATGGCCTGCCAGCCTCCAACGGCGCCCCCAACGGCATCGCGCCTCCCACAGGCCCGAGGGCGATGAACCAACCAGCTGGAGGCAGTGGTAGCGGCAGAGGCCGAGATGGACGAGATGGGCGAGATGGGCGAGAAGGAAAGAAGAATTCAAAGACCGAAGGCGTCAAGCGCTCGGCGGCGGAGATTGAGGACTCGCTGCTGCGGTCGCGCTACCTTGGCCCCGAGGTCAACCAGCAGTCGACTTTTTCGGCCAAGAAGAAGCGAATGCGGACGACGGAGAAGAAGTTCAACTTTGAGTGGGATGCAGACGAAGACACATCGAGAGACAACGACCCGCTGTACATGAGCCAGAGCGTCAACAGAGGCGGCTCCCTGGCGGGCGTGGGCGGCGAGTTCGACAAAGAGGCCGAGCAGCGAGCGCGCAAGCGAGCAAAGATGATTGAGCAGCGCGATCTGGAACACGGCAAGGAGCGAGCAATAGGAATCATGGAAGACTTTTACAGGGCGCGCGACAGGGCGAAGGAGAGGGCTGAGAGGACGGGCCTGGGGCGGCACTGGTCGGACAAGGACCTCAACGAGATGCGCGAGCGAGACTGGCGCATCTTCAAGGAGGACTTTGGCATCTCGACTAAGGGCGGCGCGATTCCCAACCCTATGCGCAACTGGCAAGAATCCGGGCTGCCGCGACGGCTGCTTGACATCGTGGACAATGTTGGCTACAAGGAACCCTCTGCTATTCAGCGAGCAGCCATCCCCATTGCCTTGCAAGCCCGCGATCTTATTGGTGTTGCCGTCACAGGTTCCGGTAAAACTGCCGCTTTCCTACTGCCCCTTTTGGTGTACATTTCGGACCTGCCGCCCCTCACAGAGGCCAACAAGAACGACGGCCCGTACGCGCTCATCATCGCGCCGACCCGTGAACTGGTGCAGCAGATTGAGACCGAGGCGAGAAAGTTCGCCGAGCCGCTCGGCTTCAGGTGTGTTAGCATCGTTGGTGGACATTCGCTGGAGGAGCAGGCCTTTGCCCTGCGCAACGGCGCGGAGATTATCGTCGCGACGCCGGGTCGTCTCGTCGATTGCATTGAGAGAAGACTTCTTGTTCTCGTCCAGTGCTGCTACATCATCATGGACGAGGCTGATCGAATGATTGACCTTGGTTTCGAGGACTCGGTCAACAAAATCCTCGATGCCTTACCCGTATCCAACGAGAAGCCGGATACAGACGACGCCGAAAACGCCCAGCTCATGAAGCGCTACGTGGGAGGCAAAGACCGCTATCGCCAGACAATGATGTACACGGCCACCATGCCTCCGCTGGTCGAGAAGATTGCCAAAAAGTACCTCCGTCGCCCCGCCATCGTCACCATCGGTAACGCCGGCGAGGCCGTCGACACTGTCGAGCAGCGCGTCGAGTTCGTCTCCGGCGAGGACCGGCGCAAGAAGCGGCTGCAGGAGATCCTGTCCTCCAACGTCTTCGCGCCGCCCATCATCGTCTTCGTCAATATCAAGCGCAACTGCGACGCCGTCGCGCGCGACATCAAGTCCATGGGCTGGTCCGTCGTCACGCTGCACGGATCCAAGACGCAGGAGCAGCGAGAGGCCGCGCTCGCGTCCGTCCGCTCGGGCCAGACGCAGGTCCTCGTTGCGACCGATCTTGCTGGTCGTGGTATCGACGTGCCGGACGTCTCGCTCGTCATCAACTTCAACATGGCTACCAACATTGAGAGCTACACCCATCGTATCGGTCGTACTGGTCGTGCTGGAAAGAGTGGTGTGGCTATTACCTTCCTGGGTAACGAGGACTCGGATGTGCTGTATGATCTCAAACAGATCTTGAGCAAGAGCTCCATCTCCAAGGTACCGGACGAGCTCAAACGACACGAGGCGGCGCAGTCGAGGCCGGTTCGCGGCGGAGCTAGCAAGAAGGACGAGGCTGCTGCGTCCGAAGGGGCCAAAGGAGGTGGCGGCAAGGGAACTTGGTAACTTGATTATATCTGCCAACTTATATAATGGTTTATGCAAAAGAGCGGAGTTTAGGTTCACATGTCAATTGTATGGTAGAGAAATACTGGTCATTAGTTTAACAGCTCTTTTATTTTTGTTCCCCTTTTAATTCTCTGTCGTGTACTCTAGAGATTTTACTCCTTTTCCATCTACATGAGAATGCAGCCCTTTAGGTCTCAGGCTACTCTTTTTTAAGCACACATTCTACACTGTCTACTCCAACTTGAGCTGCTCAAACTGCTTAATCGTCTCCTCCAAGCTGTGCTTGTCATGCTTGGCATCAGCCAATCTCTGGAGGTCACCCTCCTGGACGGCCGCCGACACCTTCTCCTTGTATCCAGGATCCGCGATGAGCTTCTCCTGCTTCTGGATGTTGCCGTTGGTCTTCTCAAGCTTCTTCTGCGCCTTGACAATCTCGGCATCAATGTCCACTCTGCCCTTGACGTGCAGGAAGACGGAGGCGACGGTAGAGACGGGGTAAGCAACGCTACCGAGAGGTCGGGGAGCATCGGGGCCGACGACCTCCATGGTCTTGACGCTCTTGCCGCTGAGGGACTTGATGGAAGAGACTTCGTTCTTGCATGTCTGGAGAGCCTCTGCGTTGTAGGCCTGGATGATGACTGTTTTTGATACCGTGTTAGATAATGAAGTAGACTGGTTTAGGTATGGGAATCTACTTACTCTCAGCGTCCTCCTTGATGGCATACTCTGACATGAGCGATCGGGAAGCCTTGGTGCAGTCGAGCACAAGCTCATAGGCCGCCTCTGAGGCCGGGTCGTCAAGAACAGCATTGTACGTGGGGTACTTGGCAATCATGATGGACTTTGTCTCATCGCTGGGTCTCCGGGGCATTCTCTGCCACATCTCCTCGGTGATGAAAGGCATGAAGGGGTGGATCATTGTGAGCGCTGCCTCAAGAGCAGTGTACAAGGTCTGGATAGCCGAGTTGCGCTCCTCCTCAGTGCCATCGCGGATAATGGCCTTTGAGTTTTCAATGTACACGTCACAGAGTTCGTTGTACCAGTAGCGGTAAACAATGATTGAGGACTTTGAGAACTCTCGATCGGCAAGGGCGATGTTGATCTCCTTGGCGGCCTGGTTCATCTTGTGGAGAATCCATCTCTCCGCCAGAGTCTTGCCAGGAACGGCTCCAGTTTTTGAGGGAACAAAGTCCTGGGGCAGACTTCCCAAGACGTACTTGGTTGCTTGGAACTGATGCTGATGTTAGCGCGAGGGAAAGGAAGCGAGAGACTGGGTTTCCATGACATACAATCTTGTTACAGAATTTTCGGTAACCGTGGATACTAATGATGGTGTCAGCGGAGTTGGGGGGAATCAACCTTGCGATCTGCTTACATCTTGACTTCCAGGTTGATGTCACCACCGCCGGTTGTGGCATTGATCATGGTGAAACGGAGTGCGTCAGCTCCGCACTCAGGAATGCCATCAGGGAAAGCAGTCTTCTGATACTTGGTCGCCTTCTGGACCTCGCTTGGGTGCAGGTTACCCAGAAGAAGCTTCGCGTGCAAATCTTCCAACTTGATACCGGCAATGACGTCCAGGGGGTCGACGACGTTACCCAAACTCTTGCTCATTTTCCGGCCCTCTGAATCTCTGACGAGACTGTGGCAGTAAACCTCCCTGAATGGAACCTGTCCAGTTAGCTTCAAGCTGAGCATGACCATTCTGGCAATCCAGAAGAAGAGAATGTCCCAGCCAGTCTCGAGAACGCTAGTAGGGAACAGCTTCTCAAAGTCGACCGTCTTCTCGGGCCAACCCAGAGTGCTGAACGGCCACAGGCCAGATGAGAACCATGCTATGTCATTGTTAGTGTTAAAGAAGCTGTAATCGGATGCCGTATGAACTCACTATCAAGAACGTCCTCATCCTGCTCAAGAGTGAAGGTCTTGTCGGGGAAGGCCGCCTTGGCCTTCTTCTCTGCCTCTTCTCTAGTTCTTCCAGTAAACCAGAGCTTGTCCTCGGGGATGCCCTCGGAGCCTCCCTCAATCTTGGCAAAGTATGCAGGACATCTGTGGCCCCACCACAACTGTCGGCTGATGCACCAGTCGTTGATATCCTCAAGCCAGCGGAAGTAGCTCTTCTCAGCGCTCTCAGGTCGGATCTTGATCTTGCCATCTCGGACAGCCTGAAGGGCGGGCTCAGCAAGCTCCTTCATTCTAACCCACCATTGGGGCTTCATGATGGGCTCGATAATGTCCTTGGACTTTTCACACAGAGGAACCTTCATCGGGTTGTCCTTCTTGTCCACATACAGGCCCTTCTCCTTCAGGGCATCCTGGATGGAGTATCTGACATCAAAGCGCTTCTGGCCCTTGTACGGTCCAGCATTCTCGTTCATCAGGCCATCGTCAGTGAGAATGTTGATGAACTCCAGGTTGTGCTTCTGGCCAAGGGTGAAATCATTGGGGTCGTGGGCGGGAGTCAGCTTGACAGCTCCAGTTCCGAACTCCATGTCGACATACTCGTCGGCGATGATGGGCAGCTTGCGTCCTGGGATGAATGGGTGGACAGCACTCTTGCCAATCAGGTGTGTGTACCTCGCATCCTTGGGGTGAACAGCAATACCAGTATCACCCAGCATGGTTTCAATACGGGTAGTGGCAACCTCGACAGTCTCATCGCTGCCCTCGATAGGGTACTTGAAATGAACAATGACACCGAACTCGACCTTCTTGTCATATCCGGGGACATCGAGGAGCGTCCTTCCTGTGAGCTCCTTGTTCTGGACCTCGAGGTTTGAAAGAGCAGTGTTGAGCTTTGTGCACCAGTTGACAAGTCTGTTGGCACGGTAGATGATGCCCTCCTCGTGAAGCTGAACGAAGGTTTCGACGACGGCCTTTGTCAAGTTGGGGTCCATGGTGAAAGCTGCGCATTGTTAGCCGTAAAGAAACAGACTATGGCTTGTTTGAACTGATGGTACACACCTTCACGGCTCCAGTCGAATGAGCTACCCAAGCTGGTCAAGGCCTTGTTGATACGCTTGTGGTAATCCTCCTTCCACTCCCAGACAGTCTCGACAAACTTCTCTCGGCCGAGGTCGTGTCTGGTCTGCTGGTTCTTTCTCCACAGCATGTTCTCGACAACGCTCTGGGTCGAGATACCAGCATGGTCACAACCGGGAAGCCACAGAGTAGTCTTGCCCTGCATCCTGTTCCATCGGATCATGAGATCCTGAAGCGAATCGCCCAGGGCGTGTCCCATGTGCAGGTTACCGGTAACATTGGGAGGCGGGTGGACAATGACGAAGCTGCCTTCATCCTTGACATTTCCGTCTGCAGTGAACTCGGGCTTGAAAAAGCCTTCCTTCTCCCACCAGGTATACCATGCGGACTCGACGGCAACGGGGTTGTATGCCTTGAAGTGAGGGTCGTCGAACGATCGAATGCGCTTCTTCTCTCCAACGGGGGTATCTTCGACGTAGACGGGGAGCGGCTCCTCCTCTACCTTCTCCTTCTTAGCCTTCTTCTCCTTGACAGGGGCCGCAGCGGCAGCAGCAGCCTTTGCCTTTTTCGCCTCGAGCTTGGCGGCCTTTTCAGCCTTCTTGCGTTCCTTCTCCACTGCACGGATAAGTTAGATCGGTAGCTCTCAGGAGTTTAGGTTGGACGTGGAGAAGCATGGGATCCCTTACACTCCTTTTCGGACTTTACTTTCGCAGGCCCCTCGGCAGGGGGCACAACGCCGGCATCCTGACCCGAAGAGTGCTCTCCAGGAGCAGCAGATTGGGTCGAGTTGGCAATCTCTTGCTTGACCTCGCCGGAGACCTTGGGGGGCGCGGTGCTGGTTTCCTGGATGCCCTCGGTCGCCGCGACTGTGTATCGCATCCATTAGTCACGACCTTTTGCAGCTCTGTTCTCGCAATGACCTACTGGGATTTCCTCGTCCAGAGTTGGTCGCCATGATCGCACGTGTGGTAGTGAAAGATCTTGCAGGATAAACTGGCCGCACGCGAAGTGCTCGAGCCGCGAATCTGAACGTCGTGCTGGATGTTATTCGGGGAAGCCCTAGAGTGAATTGGCCTCCTCGTCAATCCTATGCGTCAAAGATTCACCCGTTGAATGACCGGCTCTGATCGCGCTATCGGATTCAGAGTCTGAGTTTCTTGGTCTGAAATTTGAGTCACTGCCCTTATCAGGTGGGATGTTGAGGGGTGTGGCGGTGCCGCGGGGTACAGATGGCAATTGGGAGCCAAAATGGCTTTCAAGCCACAATGTGCGCCACAGACGCTCTTACATGGGCAAAACCACTAAGGAATTCATTCCATGTAAATCAACATTCTCCAGTATCGTCATCTTTATATGAAATCTCTTCGCTTACGTTGTTTCATTGTTTAATAACTTATTTATTCTAAGAAGTCTTCGTCATTCTATCTTTCAAGGGAAATAGCCGGCATAATCTTGGTGCAAAGATTAGCCTGGCCTCTTGTTTAAAATGATTATCCGGCCATCCCAGCAAGCTTTGAGAAGCTTGCTTTCAAGACGAGGCGCATCATTTTTAAGAAGATCTTATTCAAACGTTTCCGGTAATAGCCAGACCAGATTCACATATGCTCTACCGGCAGATACAAAAGTGAGCGACGGTATCAAAACTTGTGGCAAACAGTTTATTAATGTTTCTCAGGTCAACTATGGGGAGCTCTTTGAGCAACTGAGAGGCAAGAAAGCCTTGGAAAATGCCGACGGCCACAACGCAGCAGTGCTCCTCACAACGCCAGACTTTGCCAAAGACTTGGAAGATGCAAACATCATGGGAGAATTTGCTAGACTGATGGCTGGCTCTGCTGACGTGGGGAGATTCCATGTGCTAAGCGCAGTGGTCGACCATCTGGCAGGCCCGATAGGTTCACTCAGACCTTTCCAGGGGGTATCAGTCTTACGAGGTCATTTAAACGACATGCTGCCGCAATTGTGGCAGCAGTCGCCGCCAAAATCCAAGGACGATGCAGATTCAGTGTCTGCCTTGACATTTAGCCTGGGGGATCCCGCATTAACGCTGCCTCTGGCTAGAACTACATTCCACAACAACAGAGCATCTACACTTTTGTCGTCTGAGTTTGACTTGACTCGAAGCACCACTCATCTCGCTCGCCAAACAGAAAAGCACTCACAATTTGTGAGAGTCGCGCTAGATGACGATCTTGAATCATTAGCCCATCTCGATATGTGGACACCCCTGATGCCATTGACGCAGCCCCGAACTGTGACTGAGAGCTTCGGCAACATCATTCGAGGAATTGAAGTTGACGGTACCACAATCCCAGCTTCTACTGAGCTGGAAGACATTGTGAATGCCCTCCACAAGCAGAACACCCAGTCTGGAGTTTTATCTGGCCCAGTTGGGGTCTGGGCAATGGTTATTCCTAATCCAGAGACTTCAGGCGCCTTGGAAGATTGGCTCGAGGAAGCTCCTGAGCCAATATCAGTGCTGCCAGACGTCGATGACATCAGAGATACCGTAAAAGCCACCGGCCAGCATCTCAAAAAGCTTTATAGCCATGGCGGCCGTCTGTACAAGATTTGTAAGTGTGAAGCTCTAAATGTATTCAAGGCAAAACGTGAGCTGACTCTGGTCATTAGTGAGCGGCGGTGGTGGTTGGGGAGCTAAAAAGGGATTATTATCCCTTGACCCTCAACGAACGCACTTTTCCCTGTCGGAAGAGGAAGAGATGCAGAACTTTATACAATCGATGAGCGGCGGCGGCTTCACTCCCCAGGGCTCACAGATCCAGTTCTTCATGTCTGCACCAGCCCTTCCGGACATTACGGAACCCTTTGTTCCTGGCGTAGCTTTCGGCGTTTCCGGAGACGTCGCGGTTCCCAGAGATCCGGAGCCGATCCAGGGCTTCATCGGACAGCATTTCGGCGCTCTTTCGAATTCGGCCATCTATCTCTCTGGCCAAGGCTTGCCCAGCGGCAAGGAGACAAAGCTGAGCGTCCCCCATTCGAGGGTATATGGGAGGGAGCCTGAGACGAAGCCGGGTGTTTTGAGAAGCTTGTTTGGAATAGAGGATGTTGGATCCCTTGTATTGGATGGACTGAAGCACCACTAAAGTCATCCTATCTAATAGTTGTATATATCACCTCTCATCATCATAAATCTATATATATATATAATCGCAGCTGTCTACTCTGTCTTCTTCTTCTTCAACTCTAGCCCCTCTGCCATCAACGACGCAACATCCTCCAAGCTAGTCCCTCTCTTCCTCTTCCCAATCTTCTCCTGCCCAAGAACCCCGTCTTCCGCGACCGCCTTGTAAACCCCAGCAATGCCCTCAAACACCGTCCTGTCCCAGCCGCCCTCCTCATGGAACGTCTTCGAAATCTCCTCCATCTCTCTCACCCAGCGGTACGCCTTTGGCGGCATCCCCGGAACGCCCTTCTCCCCTCTCGTCAGCATCGCCGGCACCATCTGGTTCAGCTCCAGCTTCAGTTCATCCACCACCCCGAGCCGATGCGCCGTCGTGAAGGACTGCGTCACCAACGCTGTGAACCCCTTTGTGATTGACGCAAAGCACATTTTGAGACCGCTCGCCGCACCAATCTCCTCCGAAATGGATCGCAGCTGCAGCACAGATGCGAGCTTCTCCCCATCCGGCAGCGACGTCAACGAATGAGGCCCCGAAATGGGAATACTAGGCTGATCCCACACGGCTTCTCCGCCCTCTTGGTTGGCCTTCTTGAGACTTGGAGGCCCGCCCAGGATGCAGGCGTCGATGAACTTGACAGGCACCCTCGCCTTTTCAAAGAGCGCCACGATGCTCTTACACGTCGACGGCGCAACGGCGTTCAGATCGACATAGTAAAGCGTCTCTTTTCTCGAGCCACCCGACAGGGCATCGACAACTCGCTGAGCCGTGGCCTCGGCATCGCGTGGCGGGACGACTGAGAAGATGACACTGCACTGCTGGACAAGCTCCAAGTCGGACGAGAGAAGCTCAACGCCAGCATTACGGGCTCTCTCAACCGTATCCTCACTAACGACAGGTATTTAGTTATTTTCGAACTTTATTTAGACATCTATAAATACCAACTCACCTGCGCCCTTGGCAGTTTGTCGAGACGGGGAAGCCATGCGCAATTAAGAGCCTGGCAATGCCAGCGCCCATGTCACCCAACGACAAAATGCCGACTTTGGTTGGTATGCTCGTACTCGCCATTGTGACGGGCAATATCTCGCAGATTGTATATACTGAGAGAGGAGGGGTAGATAAGAGCAATGTGTTTGCCAAATTGCACTCTATGGGTTGCAGCTATGGCGTATTAGAGATCTTAGCTGACGAAATAGTGCACATCAAGTTATATCCGAGCCGCGATATCAATCTGGATGATATGGCGCTTGTCAATGGTGGATCTGCCCGGCCAATGGCTATGGATGGCGAGACTCCAAGCAGCCAATTTGCAGAGTATCCTTGCAATGGACTTTGCCTATCGACTTCACAAAAGCCGTGGTCGCTGCTGAGAGCGAGGACATCGCAGACCATCTCTTTGGTATGCTCAAAATGGGGCATGAGTCTACAAACCATGAAACACACAAGGTAGGTAATCAAAGCATCATGTCATAAGTCTGACCCGAAAAAGCAATGCATTCGTAACGACAATACACCCAGCTTAATTATATATATGCACTGTCCCCCCATGCTTCAGATGGCATCTTCTGTAAAACGAGTCCAATACTCCAATACCCTCATAAAACACATTCCCCTTTACCAAAACGCAATGATCCAGGTTACTCAATCATGTCCATATCATCAGGGATAGCAGGTGCAGCAGCAGTCTCTCCGCTGGGCGCGGCAGCTTCCGCAGCAGGCTCTGGGGCTCCGCCGTTGGCGTTGAAGTAATCCTCCATCTCGGCGTCCAATTCCTCCTGGGTCTTCTTGGGTCGCGGCGTATTTGTTCGTGCAGCACGGCCGTTTCCTCCGTTTGCTCCGCCTCCCCGGCCACCGCGACCCGCATCCTGATCCCTTCCCCCACCACCCTCTCGTCGGGCACCGGGACGACGTCCTCCACGACGAGGTGGCATGGGGCTTCTGGAACGACTTCCGCCAGGAACATATCGGTCAATGCCCCTGCGAGCGGCATCTTCTTCATCGTATCGGCGAGGAGGGGAGAGCGATCGAGATCTGCCACCAGGAGCAGAGATGCGTTCGGACAAAGGCTTCCCTGGCATCACGGCAGTATCAAATGGGTTTCGGGAAGGGCCGCTTGGCATGACGGTCAAACGAATTGGCTGGCCTATACAATCGTGTCAGTTGCAAAAATCAGACAGCAGATTCGTTTGAAGGGGACGTACCGTTCGCGTTGGCACCATCAAACTGTCTCACAGCCTCTGCGGCATCGTCCTTGCTTTCATATGTCACGAAAGCTACGCCCTCGGACCGTCCAGACCGATCGTAGCGCAGTTGCAGCTTTGTAATGGGACCAATTCTTCTGAAGAGTTCCTGTCATCATGTCAGCCGTGGTACCAAGGTGTCTTTCATCCCCAAACGTGACGTACGTCGAGATCTTCCTCGGTGAGATCGTAGTGGATATTCTCAACTCGGAGTCGTGCGCCGCGGGCTTCTCCGCTGAGAATAAGAGTTAGCAAAAGGGGAGGATCGAATCACCGCTTCATTTGTTTTGTGAGTAGGCTTACCCGCTGGGAGATTCGCGCCTGCGACGCGGTGCAGGGCCTCTGTTGCGATACGCTGGAAATCATGAGTCGGGTTCAAGGGAGAGGAATTGATTAATAGAGGCAGGATGTGACTATACTGTTCTCTTCGTATCGATCATGAACCCATTCGCTGCGAAAATGCCATTAGTATATGCTCGGTGGTCTGTATATATGGCTTCTCAGGACCAACCTATCCAAGTTTCGAGGCTCGTTGCGGAGAGACTGCACGGTCGACCAAAAGAGCTGGTTAGCGAGGAAATCCACAGCGTAAGACCCAGTCACGGATCGGCAAAAAACTCCGAAAATCGATTGACCGAAGGAGTGCGCAGAGCAATTGACGAAGTCGAGTGCCAGACGATTCAGAGGGAGGAGAGGAAGGGCTCAGTTTCAACCTTTGACCGAGTGGCGAGTCAGCCTCGCGTAGCAGCTGGGAAGCCTGCAAAGGGGACGACGACAACACGCACCTTTTTCACCCCGTCACGGGGATAGTCCTGACGGTCACGGCGGCGGTCGCCACCACCGCGTCGGGTTCGAGGTCCATTGCTGCGCTGATGGACGAGTTAGCCATGGTCTTGCGACTTCGGGAGAGGACGAGGCTGGCGGTATGGGAAGATGGATGCGTGGACCAACCTTGTCTGCAATGATTTCGTCGAGGCCGCGGTCCATCTTATCAGAAGCCATTGCGGTGATGGAGATAAGGGATACTGCAGATAAATGTATTCTTGTGCGGCTCCGGACTAGAGAATCAACAAAGAGCGGATGTTTGGATGAAGAGAAACGTTTCGAGTCGTGACAACTGAAGGCGGAATTGGCCTGCTAGAAATGCACAGGCTAGCGATGGAAGCCGGGAGCGGTACCAGTCAGGCACATGCCCGGAGCAGGGGGGTTCCAGGGTGCCCAGTGCACTATTAGCCTATCGCTACAGGTATTGCTACAGGTATTACTACAGGTGCTGGGGGATGATCTTTTCTTGGCTCCCGTCTGCCTTTTCCAGGCACGCACACCGCATTGACCATTTACGACATTGAAGGTCCATGATTTCCTCCAATCTTGGGGATAATATTCTGATTGCCCCAATGGCAGAGTTGCATTTGATCTCTGGCGTATCAAGTCTAGTACTGCAACCACAGCCACCTGCACTGTAGCATATGCTTTGGTGCTATCAATTGATCCATCGAAATTTTATACCTGTGATAGGCCTAGCCTGACATAATCGGAGACCCCTGATTTAGATTTAGAGGCAATTGCTCGTATTTTTGACTCTGTCCTTTTCCCAAAGTACCACTTGGTACTAGCGAGGGCGTACGAGTACCGGAGCACGAGCAGTTTGCTCTGCCTTCTTTCGCAACTCCTGCACAGACGACCAATCTTCAACGTCCATGCCCTGACGCTCGTTTCTGCTGGACGCACCAGTGTCTTTTTTCCTCTCCTCCATCCCTCTTGCTCTTGCATCTGTGCGTGCGCCGCGCTGCTCTCCGGTCGAATTGATCGCGATAACGAAATCGAATCCGAATCCCATCACTATCACCAACGCCCACCAAAATCAGGCTCCATGGCTCGTCCCATGGGGTCCGTCCGCCTCAAGAAGGCCAATTCCTCGACGTTGATCTTGGGAGCGGTGCTTTGCATCTTCATCATCATCTTCCTCGTCTCGCCCTCGAGCCCCGCCTCCACCAGCCGTCTGTCCATCATCTCGGCCCAGCATCCTCTATCGCCCCCTACCTCGCCCTACCAGAGCCCGCGGTCAGGCGCTGTCCAAGGCCCTCCGCCGGTTACGCGATACAACCTCAACAAGGTCACCGTGACGGCGGATCCCGTCAAGAACAAGGAGCACATCCTGATCCTGACGCCCATGGCCAGGTTCTACCAGGAGTATTGGGACAATCTCTTGCGCCTCAGCTACCCCCATGAGCTGATCACCCTGGGCTTCATCCTGCCCAAGACCAAGGAGGGCAACCAAGCGACGTCTCTTCTGCAGCAGCAGATCCAGAAGACGCAGAACCATGGCCCGGAGAAGGACCGCTTCAAGAGCATCATCATCCTGCGCCAGGACTTTGACCCTGCCGTGGCGTCCCAGGACGAAAAAGAGCGCCACAAGATGGGCAACCAAAAGGCCCGCCGTGAGGTCATGGCCAAGGCACGCAACTCGCTGCTCTTCACGACACTGGGCCCATCCACCTCGTGGGTTCTGTGGCTCGACGCCGACATTGTCGAGTCTCCCCCCACGCTGATCCAGGATCTTGCGTCCCACGACAAGGCCATCATCGTTGCCAACTGCTTCCAGAAATACTACGACCCCGACACCAAGAAGATGGCTGAGCGGCCGTACGACTTCAACAGCTGGCAGGACAGCGAGAATGCGCTCAAGATGGCGGAGCAAATGGGACCGGACGATATCCTGCTCGAGGGCTACGCTGAGCTCGCAACCTACAGAACACTTCTTGCTTACATGAACACTGTTGGTGGTGACAAGAACCTGGTGCAGCCCCTCGATGGAGTTGGTGCTACCGCATTGCTGGTCAAGGCTGATGTGCACCGTGACGGAGCCATGTTCCCTGCCTTTTCCTTCTACCACCTGATTGAGAGCGAGGGTTTTGCCAAGATGGCCAAGCGATTAGGGTGGCAGCCGTACGGGCTCCCCAACTACAAAGTAAGCCACCAGCTTCTTGGCTCCAAGTTTAAAGCATATCTTATCTAACGTTGATGTGTCTAGGTCTACCATTATAATGAGTAAATTAACATTTACGCCCCAATTTTTTCTCTCACTTGACGGTTCTCTCCTGTCACTTTATTTTATTACGGTTATGACTGTTGGGCTGAGCGTCGATGGCATTGGAGGAGGGCTCCTATTGAGAGGTGTAAGGGATCAAATGCTCAGGTTGCATGATTCATTCTCCCCTCTTTACAACTCTCTGGAATCGATTTTTTAAAACAAAAAAGATGCTTCGGGGTGTCTTGGGTAGGAAGTCAGGGCAGGGTCAGGCACGGCGCGGCATGGCGCGGGCGTTTTCTCGTGGAAAGCATCTAACCTCTTAACCTCTGGCATGTTGAAATTTTATATAGAAAAAATCCCCCTTCCCCCCCTCTTTCTTATATATCTTTTTCAATCACTACTGTCGGGATCGCAGGCATCAGCAGGGAGGAGGGGAAACAGACAAACCCAAAAAAAGGGGAGGGAAGGAAGCCGTTTTCAATCTTTTATTTCCAGGCCACACCCTTGTCCGGTCTCTTGTCATGGTGGATGGTCTGGGGCTATTGCTTTTATTGAAAAAGGGGGAGAGGAGGTAATCAAGGTTGTTTCTCAGGGGATGCTCGATGCGTTACTTTATCATATTGTCTTTTAGTCATGTAACTTGGGAAGGGGGTGGGCGGCAGTAGAGCCATGTTTTTACGCGAGTTGGAATAGATTCAATCAATCAATGAATGCGATGTGCAAAGACGATATTTTTTTTTGGGCATTTTGCGTTCTGCATTATCCTTGAAGCTCGATCCACGGCCAAGTCCCTTTGTAACCTCGTGCTCGTAGCATATCATCCAACCCATCCCTAGGTATCCAAACCATTCAATATCACCACCATCTAGCAATTACAAACGTTCGTACATATAAACCATCAAACATCCGAATCCAAAACCAAAACCCTCTCCCACGTCCCCCCCCTTTACGGCCCATCATACCTCCCCTCGGGCTCAGAGCACCAATACTGCACCAGCTTCCGCGTCCCCAAAACATCGCCGCCCCTCAGCAGCGCCGCGACGTCGACGTTGAGCGGGCTGTCCGTCTCGGGGTAGCTCAGCAGCATGCGCACGGCGCGCACGCACTGCAGCACGCTGTACGTCGGCGTCCACTTGTCCTTGAGCAGGTCGAGGCAGATCTCGCCCGTCTGCAGCGCAATGTTGGGGTGCACAATCGTCGTCACGAAGCGCATCTTGGGCGGCTGCAGCGGGTACTGCGCGGGGATCTGGATGTTGATGAGCCAGCGGCCCTCTGTAACACGAATTAATTAGCCAAAAAAAAAAAAACAAGAACCACAAGCAAAACGTCGACGAGAGACAAGAAGAAGAGTCAAACTCACCATCGTAGCCAGAGCCAATCTCCCTGCCGTTGATGACGGCTTCCCATTCGAATAAGTCATCCTCGTTGACCGGGCCCAGCCTCTCCACGCCCTTTTCGTCCTTGCGCTCCTTGCGCCAGCTCTCCAGCTCCTTGATGAGTCGTTTCGCTCCGCTTCTTGCGCTCATTGTGATTGTTGCGTCGGCTGTGCTTAGCAGCTACCTTGATGGTGAGTGTAGACAAGGGGGGTATCGCGTCGAGCTGAAAGAGTATCGCTTCGCTATAGATGCAGAATAAAAATGGACGCGAAACGAGAAACGCTCCTATGGAAAATACTATTATGTATCACGAGTATGGAAATGGAAACAATAACAAATAACAAGCTGCGAGGCTGGAGCTGGAGCTGATGGCAGGGATACGATGTCACCCGCAGCCGCGGCACGATGTTTAGTCAGCAAGCCGAGGGGTGGGTATCGCAAGTCGCTCATTGTTTACTTTGTGCTTGTGCATAAAACAGACTGAAGCTATAATGCCAGTGAGAGGCAGCAGCAGGAATTTACTTACTGATTCGGTCTGGAAAGAACATAGGATGGATCAATGGGGAAATGGGTGATATAGTGGTTGCTTATCACCTTTCTACGTGCTGACAACTCCGATACATGTGACTTGACGGGCTTCTCAAGAGTATCCTGACACGAGTATATATTCATCATAATAATACGAGCCTATTAAATCAAACTTTTCGCAAGAGGAATCAACCAGACCGAATCAACGCGCTTCACCCTCTCTCCTCTTCCTTCGTACTCCCGAAGAAGTCCCTGATCCCGTAGTCGTCCTACTCGATGTCGTCCTCCTTGTCGGCGCCGGCTCAGGCCTCTTTCTCGTTGTTGAACGCGTGCGCGACGAGGCCTGTTCACGCCCAGGAGGAGACTCAGGTTCCACCTCGACCACTATGTCTTCTCTACCCTTGGCAGCTTGAACTGGGCTCTCGTCCGCCAGAGACAGCTCCTCGCTGGTCTCCTCGGAGCTTTGCCGCCTTGACGATCCTTGCTGGCTCCAGCCAGACGTGGACCCGGGCCTGCCACGGCGTGACATAGAACTCAGATCTGATGACTGACCAGAGCCATGGCGCTTAGGAGCAGCATGTGAAGCACGGGGCCCAGCTGTTTGATACTGGAAGGGGTCTTTTGACGTGTCCTCATGGATGCTAGATGGCCGAGATGTAGAAATACCAGACTTTGGGCGAGGGCGTGAGCTGGGAGGGGGGAAGTAGCCCATTGGTGGAGAGGCCACGTCGTCGTCTCCAAGCGCGTCGCTCCCGGAAGGCTGTCTTGACAATGAACCGGAGCCGGAAGCCTGGCGTGAGCCTGAGAGTCGAGCCATTGATTCAAACTGAGCAAGCGGTATGGCCACACGCTCCTGGCGCCGCCTGCGGTTTCTTCGCTCCTCCTCCTCCATGCGCCGCTGCCTCCGCTCGAGGGCCGCAACCTCCTCCTTGCTCAGCCGTACGTCAGTCCGGCCCTTGGCTTGGGCTTTTTCGATCCGGTAGAGCGCCTTTTGCACCAAAGCCTCTTCCCGCTCATCCTCGTCATGCTCGCCATCATCTGAATAGTCCTCGTCGTAGCTATCACCAGATGAGCTATCCTCCTCCTCCGTGTCGTAGCGCCGGTTCCTGCGGCGTGCGACGCCGTTTTCTCTATTCCCTGAATCCGTATCATCCTCGTCCGTTAACAACTCCTCAACCCTGCCTCCGTATTGCGCAGCATCCCCACTTGTTTCCCTCCGCCCGCGCCGCGATGGTCTTCCCCATTGGGGCGCAAATTTGGGAGCTCGCGGCCGACCATTTAGACCGCCTCCCCGGAAAAAGCCTCATCGATGGGCTTGTCCATGAAACTCGCATGGCCCTGGATCCAATTAGCATGTCAGGGCCGCCAAATACAGTTGTCGGGATGATACTTACGAGAATACTCGCGCCGCTAGCTCCGATGAGCCAGAGCAGGGTCGAGAATGGAGAAGAAATAAGACCAATGGGAATGCTGATGACCAACAATCCAGTCCAAAGCTGGGAAGTGGTGGCCTTGAATGTTCCAATTTCGAGATCTCGGCCGTCAAGCTTGCTGATTAAAAACATGCCTCCGATAACGAAGATGATGTCGAAGAGCAGAAGCCAGTTGGTCAAGAGGGCGTAGATGCTGAGCATGAGAAAGACGACAGCATAGTTGCTGGAGAAGTGGCCCAGGTTGTAGTTGACGCGGGACTGCACCTCGCCGAAGTTGGCCGGCTTGGACAGACGCTTGAAGTCGAAGAACTCGGAGATGGGGCGCAGATTGGAGAAACGGCCGCTCAGAGGTCCCGCACGGAGGCCTTGGAAGCGCTCTCCAAGGTTGAGGCGGGACGTGATGAGGTCGAGGGGAATCTGGATGCGAGACATGTTGGATGGTTTTTGGCCTTGATGTCCTTGTCTGAACACTGAACTTGTCGAGATATATAGATGCCGATGCTATGCTGATGCGCGTGGCTGCAAGGAGTGATCAGGCAACAGCGACTGTAGATGCCACGGTAATCCGATATTGAGTATGCAAGGAGCTTGGATACGCAGCTAGAGAAAAGAGGGCCCAATTAGCGAACGGCACTTGGTGATATCGTAATGCTTGCGTGGCCGGGTACAGAATCCCAAGGATGAATGCGTCAAGACGGGTGACGCCGCTGTCAATTGAATTGGAGAAGAGGAGATTGTCATGCCACGGAACAGGAGCAGTACATACCAGAGCTGAACGGCGCAGGTCTCTTGAAGCTGCTCAAAAGCAAAGTTGGTGTCTGTTGTCTCTCCGGTTTAAAGGAGTAAGAGTGTCGATCTCTATTTTTTTTTTAGAGTTCGGAGGTTCCTGGATGCCAGGGGTGCGAATACGTGGCAAATGGAGGACAAAGATACGAGTGCTGGTACGTACTGCCTCAGCCACCCAAAAAGTCTGTTTTGGGCAAAGCCGGGCTATTCTAGGAATCACATGTGAGTTAGAGAAATGCACTGTAAGGCCATTGAAGTCAAGACAGGAAGGAAAGAAGAGGCCAATCAAGGGAATTCCATTGCGCCTCGTTTTATTATTCACGTTTCTTTTTTCTTTTTTTCCAAGCCACCGCCCAGCGAGACGCGAGATTCACTGTTTACAGCACAGAGTCGCATGCGTGTAAATGTACGTACCTGGAGTGCCCCCGCAACCCCTCCTCAGGAAGCGCAGACCGCCACCTGATGGATTCGTCGTCTTCGATTCTTTCCTCCTCGGGGGTGAGAAAGAAAGGACGAAGAAGAGGAATGAGGAGAAGGAAGAGAGAAAGAAGAGGAGAAGAAGAGAAAGGAAAGGAGGAAAAGAAAAGAAAAGAGGAGGAGGAGGAGGGGAGAAGCGGCGAGGGTGATCGGGCAGCTACAGGCTACTGCCCACCTACACACCGGACTCTGACCTGTAAATGTTACCTGTACTCTACATAGTACATTGTCCAGCACTGCTGCATTGCTACACATCATTATCCACCCCGGTGCAGCAACAGGTCACCGCTCTCTGGCTCCAGGCCGGCGAATGAGGTTGCAGACCAGCTGTCTCGCAGACCCGACTAAAACCAGGCCATGTCTTATCCTGATTAGCACTCCAACTGGTAAGACTGTCTGGCAATGGCAACATGGCCGGCTGCCCGCCTGCTGCGACCTACCTGTAGCGGCTCTAGCAGCAGATCTCGGGTACCACTAAGATATTTCTAGCGCCTCTAGTTCCTTGGATCCGAGTTCTACGACAATGCGGTGAACACCGCCTATTCCCTTGTACTGTATGGATGCTAAACTAGTAGATCTTGATGAATTTTCTTTCTAGTTTCTAGATGATTCCTCTACTGTCTTCCGGGTATCCGGACATCGAAAAGTGAGTCGGAAAGCGCCCCATCACACACGTCTGTCTTATGCGAACGTGCCCCATGCCATGGATGCAATGGTGGGAACATGAACCCAGCTTTGGGCACCCATTCAAGCATGAGTACCTAATAGAGGACATGCATGTCTCATTTGCTCGCTGCACTCTTGGATTGCAGTAGCAGCCTTTTTTATACTCAATCAACGCTCCTGGTCATATCAGATGCTTTATCAGAGAGCTTAGGAAGCTGTGGGTGAATTGTGGGCTTCTAGGTATACTCCAATTGGCACAAAGAATTCTATTGTGACAAGAACTGTAGACAAGAAACATATGATCAAGACTACCAAATATACCGTGACAGCCGTTATGAGAGCCTTGCTGGAGACGCACCACAGTCTGTATTATATATTGCGTCTAATATTATACAATGCGTATATTATTCATATAAAATGTATATGAGAAAAAAGGCGTGAACCCAACGCACATCTAGTTGATGCTCTCACTATGCCAGACCTGCCGTTCAAAGATGGGGTATATCGCAAAACAAAAGGGAAACAACAAGCGACTGAGATGAGCAGACAATAAGGAAAAAAAGAACATCATTAAAAAAAAAAAAAAAAAAGAGAGAGAGAGAGAGAGAGAGAGAGTTGGGCAGATTAGACCTCGTAAAAGTAGTCCTCGTCCAGCCCTTCTCGGCTTGGCACGATTCCGCCTCCAGCAGGTCCCTCATCCATCCTCACATTGAGCAGCCTAATCTTCAGCCCATATCCGCCCACCAGATTGACCAACTTGCTTGTCTCGGCCGTGATCGGCGCCTGGTTGAGTATCATCAACATGCCGTCGAGCCACTCCGAGGCCACGCTATGGCTGGTGGGCCAGAGAGCCAAGATGGGCTGTTCCTTCGCATCCGCATTGCCAGTCACAGCATCGGCTGGGTTCACGAAGCTGTAGATGGTAATCTTGGTCGTCGACTTCTCTCCACCGCTGGTGATGTTTTGAATCGTCGCTCCGCTAGCCGTCGTCTTGGAGTCGTCGTTGGACGCAGAGACGTTGGACACAACGGAGCTTATGGTGGTGAGGTCAATCTTCTCCTGCAGGCTATTCAGGCCCGGATCTTGTGCCATCTGCTTCTCAAAATCGGTGTAGTGTAAGTAGCGGCGATTGTGCGACAGCTTGGCAAACCTCCAAGGCTTCTTCTCTCCTGTCTCATCCTTCTGTGAGGCTGGCCGATGGAACCAGGCGCCTTGGAGAAGACACCGGACTCTCTGCTCCTTGACAAACTGCAGGGCCTCCTGCTTTAGTACATCTCGCACCTGGTAGAGATGCTTGCCCCAGGTCTCCTCGAATGACATCTGAAGCAGCTCCATCTGGAGCTCCCGCAGTCTAGATATATCGTATTCTTGCAACTCGTCCTCCACCTCCATAACATCGCTCGTGCGGGGGGATTGGCCAGCAACCCGTTCTATCAAGATACGCACCAGCTCTGCCACCTTTTCAAAGTCCTCTAAAACAGCCCCTGTAGCTTTCCAGACGCGAAAGAAGGCGTGCAGCCCAGCAGTGTGTAGTCGAGGCCATTGCAGCAGCAGTGGTCGAAACACCCTGTCGTAGTCCTTGGTCTCGACTCCCTGGTATCCCTTCATGTCCTCCATATCTGCCTTATCCACGTCAAAGTGCTCGTAGAGCATCATCGTCACAGACAAGCTCGCCCGGGCAATTGGACAGCGCTCATGCAATGGCTTTGTGGCCTGCTCCAACAGCAGCTTTTGGAACCGGTCCTCATTCTTGCGCACGTAGTCGGTCAGATCCATCATGCCGAGATACCCAGCCACGTCAAAGTCTTGTGCAGGGCTCTCCGTCTCGAAACCGAGTCTCCTCCATTTCTCTGGGTTGTGCTTCCTGCCCTCCTTCTTGGTCGTCGTCGTGTCTCCCGATCCCTCTCTGTTATGGCCATTGGTTGTGGATCGGTCCGGTGCGCTCGACAGGTGAAGACTCTTGAGCGAGCGCCTGTGTTCTGGTCGTTCTAGATCCACCTTTACGTCCCTCCACTTTCTGAGCACAACCTTGTTCAAGTTCTGAAACTCCAGTGCAGGGTGGGCGAGGTCTTGAAGCCCGGAGCCTTGCATCAACTTGTAAACTGCCTTGATCAAGCCCAAGTCTTGCAGCCGTTTCATAAGTTTGGGCCACTCTTCGCCACCAGCTTTTCCGTTCCCGCTTGCCATGACGCTCTTAGTCGACAAGGCATCTCGAATCAAAGCGTTGACCAGCATGAGAGCGTTCGCACAGAGGGCATGATCGGCACTATTGAGCTGCTGCACCACAACGTCGAAAAACTGCGGGTACACGGCGACGGCAGGCTTCAGCGCGCGAAACCCAAAGGCTCCGTGATCTTGAGACGGCGGCTCGGGGCCGCTCGACTGCGAATGGCCGACAAGGGCAACCAGAATCGACATGGCGCCCCTAAGGATGTTAACCAGGGGATTCGTCACAATCAGTTCCACAATGCGCTCCACCAATTCGCTCGCGGTCGGCCCTTCGAAGATGTCCCAGCCCATGTCGACCTCGAGCAGCCTCGTCAGGCTCTGGAGCGAGTAGGCCAGCGTGTTGCCGCCAGAGCTCATGATGAGGCGGCGCAAGACGACGAGGCCACCCGAGGAGATGAAGACGTCGGCGAAGGCGGGATCGTTGATGGACGACTGGAGCTTGAAGACGGCCATCTTACGGGCCGCATCTTCAGGGCTCGCCAAGCGAGAGAGCAGCGCGGGGATGTCTGCTTGATCCATGGTGCCGATTCGGGAGGATGTCTGAGAGAAGAAGAGAGGAGATTAGATTCACCAAACGCACGTGTCTTGGTGATGGTGCGTCGATGGTAAAGTCATTGCTTTGCTTGGAAACAAGGGCGGAACTGGGCGAGAATCAACGATTAGGACAGCGATTCGTGTACGGTGATTTCGTATGGTGAAGAGTCGAGTCTCCAGCGTCAGGGGATATGATTAAAGGCACTGCCCAATCGAGTATAGCACCGTGATAGCTTTCTGCAGGTCCCCCAGGTTAGTGCCAATTTCAGGAAGGCGCGTCGGGGCGCGTTTCTGCAGCCCTTCCAAAAGAGATATGGGTCGAGGCTTCAGCGGATTTTGGTTTGAAGTAAAATCCATTCAGCCTTGTTGTTCTCCGTAAAATACATGAAATCGCCAGTCTCACAGAGAAAATCGGCATGTGAATGTATACAAGTCTTATAATGCCGAGTTTAATCCAATCAGAACCGTGCATGGATTTTATACACAGGTACAAGGCTATTTAAATGTCTCCTAATAAGTTGTACCCAGCTAGCATGTGGCTGATACGCATCATTTCCACATGGATGCTTAGTAATGTCACACGGAGCAGCACAACTACATCAACACATGCCTCTCTAGGGTGACTGGGCATTCCTCATCGAACTTCAAATATATGGACTACAACAGTCCTAAAGAACGACCAGGTACTAAAGACACAGATGATTTATTATACAAAACATTTGTTCGCTTACCATCCCCCAAATCCTCCTCGTTCTTAGGCTCACTCCCTGAACCTATGCAATGGCAATATTCTCAGGAGTTCATCCATCATTGCCCTTGGCCATTCTGTCGGACCAGCCCACAACTCCTTGCTGACCTGCTTCCTCACCGTTGGGGACGTGCAGAAATGGGGCCGGATTCCCTTTTATGGGCTGCGTGATGCAGTCAGGTACGACCTTGGTCGTCTAATGAATCGGACTCCTTGAGCAGCTGCTTCATGATATCCCAGGACTGTCGAAGAGTGGCTATGTAAAGGTTTGAGCGTCCCACGCGATCTGTGGCATTGATATTGACACCTGCCTTGAGCAGTGGTGCAACGAGCTCATGAGTTTGGTAGAACAATGCCACGCTTAGGGTATTGGCGAAGCGGCCCGCAGACAGGTTTGGGTCAGCCTTCTTTCTCGAGGAGAAATTTTGCAACGTCAGAGCGACCATTCACAATCGCGGCATTAAGGGCAGTGTTATACTCTCCACCTTCAGCATTCACTCGTGCTCCCAACTTGATCAGCTCCTCAACCACCTCCAATTTGCCACATTCAGCTGCATTGTGCAGCGCAGTAGGATATACGCCGCCTCCAGAGTTGACATTTGCGTGATTTGGCATGTTAGTATCCAGGAGGGCGCGAATCATCTCCAAACTAATGTCAGTCGGTTTTTCTACCGCTTCAAGCAATGCTGTAAAGCCGTGCTTATCTCGTTGCTCAGTTTCTACCCCGAGCTCCAGAAGCCGGCGCACAATATCACATTGTCCCGTTCTGACGGCTGATATTAGAGGCGTCTCCCCGTCACTAGCCATTTTGGCACACAGGTCGCCCAAGAGAGTGCTATTGTCCACCTTGGGATAGAATTCATTGAGTAGCATCTTCGTGAATTCTCCCTGGCCATTGCGAATGGCGTAGTGAATCGCTGTGAGATTAGTTGTGTCTCTGGAGGAGAGCAACTTCTTGTGCTTCTCCAATAGTTTTATACCAATGGCAACGTGGCCACTCTTCGCTGCAAAATGCAAGGCAGTTCTCCCTTCCTTGTTGACAAGCTCTGCATTGCATCCATGGCTAAGAAGCGCGCTGACAGTTTTGTCCAATCCCTTCATGGCAGCCTTTATAAGGGGAGTGTCACCAACAAGATCCCTAGTATTTCCATCTGCTCCGTGACGCATGAGCCATTCGACCGACTCAACAGAGCCAATGCCAGAACGCAAAACACTATATCCCTTGTCGGTCTTGGCTTCTAGAGACTTTGGACTGTACATCCAGAGGATCTCTAACAGTGGAATGTTACCAGACTTGGACGCGAGGTGGATCGGCAGCTAGTTATCAACAGAACGTGCGAGGGGATCTGTCCCAGCCTTGATCAAGAGTTCGGCGATTTCCGCCGAATTATGTTTCCTATCCGCGAAATAATGGAGAGCATTCCACCGCAACCTGTTAGAGAAGTTGCAATTGACCTTGTGGTGTTTTAAGAGGGCCTTGGTGATCTCAAGATTGCCACAGAATGCTGCCCAGTGAAGGGCGGTCAGTTGGAACTTATCGGTATGATTAGGGTTTATATTTGTCATTTTCAGTAACATGCTAACTACTTTAGCATGCCTGACAGAGTCTTTGGCGTCTCTGGCTGTTTGAGATAAGATGGTCTGGCGGAAAGGTATTCGTGCATGAGCGTTGGCGCCTTTGTTTAAGAGAAGTCTGACGATCTCTGCCTCTCCTTTTAGCGCTGCAAGTGCCAGGGGTGTTTGGCCATTCCCATTCACTGGGTCTCTTTCTGCTCGTAGAGAGAGGAGAAGTTCGACGATCTGTATATGCCCGTTTGCAGCGGCAAAATGAAGAGCTCTCTCTCCCTTCTCATTACGGTATTCTTGTAAGGAGGATTTACTCTCTTTGTTGGTTGATTTCAAGCAATGGCGAATGACTCTTCCAAACCCCAGTAGTGCAGCTCTGAGGAATATATCACCGATGTGTTTGAAGTCGTAGACTAAATCAGGGTGTTTGAGGATTAACATGGCCAAATCCTCGCCATCGGGGTGGAGAGCGTGGTGGACCGCAGTTTCTTGACAACGGTCTTGTAGCATTACACTTGCATTCTGTTCCAATAAGAACTTTGCAACGCTAGTATGGCCATTGCTACAAGCAAGCATCAGTGGCGAGATTCCAAGTGAGTTTTGACAGTTCAAGGCAGAATAATCCGGCCTTTCGGCGTCAATTAGACGCCGAACAATCCCTAGGTGCCCATTCTCTGCGGCAAGGTGCAATGGGCGTTTCCTTCATCGAGTTGACGCATTTGATATCAGCCTTCGCATCTAGAAGGTGCTGTACTATGAGCTCGTGACTGTTCATTGCAGCGAAAATGAGAGGATTGTCATACTCAGGATCTTCTAATTCAGAGGTTCCCCCTCTCGAGTTCACGCTCACACCCTCACACTGAAGTAGAAGTTGGACAATTTGCTCATGGCCATCGAAAACCGCACTCTGTAGTGGTGTGTCATTTTCTGTGACAGCATTTACATTGGCGCCAATACTGATATAAAGGGCAACTTGCTTGGCGGAACCAACAGTAACTGAATTGTACAGAAGCTGGTCAACCAGGGGGAGCAGGCTCTGAGGCGTTTTGTCCTTCATATATGCCACAATGAAATCAACAACATCGGCATGCCCACGCACAGTTGCAAGACGTAAAGCTTCTGCAACATCAAATGCCCCCCCAGAGGCCATAAGTTCACGCACAATGTCCAAGTGTCCAGCCTCACAGGCCAATCTGATGACGACATTGCGATACTGGCGCTCAATGTTTCCCCCAACTGCCTTAAATATCTCGGCAAACCCTTCAATAGCAGCAGTATGTAACAGATGAGTGGGAAGACATGGGGCAGGAAAACTGCCGTTTAATTTGGAATATAATCTCGACCACATGGCCAGCTGGGAGGGCTGGAATGACTTCGATATCCCAAGACAAGCCGAATAATGGAAGGGTAAAAACCGAACAGCGTAGTTCATCAGAGCAAATAACCCTCCTTGTGGTCGTATGAACGTCTCTAATTGAAACGTCTCATCCAAGGGGCAGATGAAATTTTGCCAAGAAAGGTATCCTAGCAGAATACCTGCGATTTCTGCGTCCCCAGGTATTATAGCCTTTAGCACATGCAGGCTTTCTGCATCTCCTTGAGTCGAAACCTTCGGCAAGCTTTTTTCAGCAGGCTCACATGCTCGTTCCTCCTCGATCAGTTTCACAAAATGGTCTCTCACGGCCTTGTCGTTGAAAATTATTCCCCCTCCTTTGAAGCTCACCAAAGGCCCAAACAGGAATTGTATACAAACACCAAAATCTGCATGCAAACTCATTGCATCCAAACTAGACGAAAACTTGGCCTTATCATTTGTAAGGGCTACGGCGACTGCGAGTTCATTCAGCCTCAGTGGTCGCTTAGAGTATACAATCCAGCCCAGCGCAGCTCTTCCCCAACCTGGAAGGCTCTTGAATGTATCAGAGACAACATCGCTTAGGACAATTTGAGAGCTGCTGATTAGGGCCTTTAGCGTCTTGGGTGTATGAGGGACCGCTTTCAGGTTGTCAGTGACGAGGGATTGGACTATGAGGAGCATCTCTGTAGTGTTCTTGCATTTCTCTAAGGTTGCTATGAGATCTTGCCTAAGATCAGAGAGATACGGGCTGCTGCTGATTGCCTGATCTGCTACAGGAGCTGCCAATGGTTTGAACATGTCCAGCGTAAGATCATGTCCAAGAGTGCTGCTGATTGCCTGATCCTCTGGAGGAGCTGCCAATGGTTTGCACAAACCAAACTGATCGATTGCTTTCACTCTTTCTTCTATATCGTTGCCACTGCCTGCTTGAACGTTATAAAAAATGGCCACTTTAAGCTTTGCGAGAGAGCCGCCATTTCTCACGGCTGTTGCCAATGTGTCAACTATTCTCCGAGCTGACTCGCACTCGTGAAGGTCATCGACAATCAGGTCAGAGGAATTGAATCTTTGTTGATGTCCAAAATAGAACGGAACAGCTGAAGGAGAGCAGTTTCAGCCCAGATATCTGAGTATTCCATGGCTATGAATGAATCCGCAACCTTGAGGTATCTTCCTGGATCTTGATTTAAGAATTGGAAAATGACTGATGCTAGAAAACTCTCAAAGGAGCCTTTACTCGCATCAATTGCCGAAAAGGAGAAATATGCTACCAAGCTCGATTGCCTTTTCAGTTTGCGAAACAGAGTTCGAGCGTTGAGGCTCTTCCCGGCTCCCCAGGCTCCGCTAGTGGCAATGAAACGTGGTGAAAGAGATGTTTCTAGCCAAGCACGATAGGCGCTCTGTACCTCGACACCTGGTTCTGACATGAACAAGTCATATTGATCATCGGGGATGGTAAACATAGGCGATGCCTTCTCTAGATATGACAGAGATTTTTGGTAATCAGGCTCGTTTCCTGTATGACCGAGGTTAAAAATAGGCCACAGAACAATAATTCAAATGCCTTTAGGCAGTAGTCTATACTTACCTGCGTTGAAGATTCTAATTATAGTAGATATAGCGAACCCGTCTTTTGAAAGGTTGAATAAGCCATTGGGATTTGGTTGTCTTGGGATATTAATCTCATGAACTAGACCTGTTGTGGCCGAGTAGTACGCAGCATCCTGCGGAAGAGATTATTTTCATTAGATACGAGAATAGACTTGCATCGACGTGCAGGTAGCGGAAGACTTACGGGATTAGCGTCTTTCGCTTCACCATCGATATCTTTGTAGACATTGATGATGTATCGCCAAGTATGGAGCGAGACGAAGTCTACTGAAAGACGTTCAAGCGATATTGAAAATTCTTGGAGTTCATTGGCCGAAAAGTTCGTTTGAGGTGGTATCAGAGACGAAGAAAATATTGGTTTAAGAGCTCGATGGACCACGTCAATGAAAATCTGTGGTATTATTAGCAGTATGAAATGGCACGAGGAATTGATTAGAACTAACCAGCTGAATGACATCTTGGGCGATGCTAAAGTACAGGCAGTTTGTATCACTCTCCGCTAGGACAAGAGCCTAAAGAGATGTAAGAGAAGAACAAAATATCTCTCCAGTGAGTGAGGGTTAAGATAGTCACCTTTTTCACAATGGCTCCGCCCAAGTCATGCGCTATGAAGGCTATTGGGATTCTTTCGTCCTGTATATCTATGTTATCATAAAGTCGATTTTCACCTACTGGTGAGACTGAACTGACCTTATCATTCCCAGATCTTAAAAGTGACAGTTCCTTTAGGAGCAATTTAGAAATCTGAGTTAAACTATCAGTTGAAAGGGGGTTGACGCCATCCTTGACTTTGGAGTTGAACAACATGATGCGTGCGTTGGTTTGCTTATGGATGTGTCTAAGTACAGAACTTTCATTCTGTTCATCAGCCGAGTCAGTCATCCAACATTCACGCGGGTCTTGTCCCATTCCATGGACTATGACGACGCTACCCCGTATGATTAGCGAATGAGAGACATTTCGGTATGATGGGTAGTCGCTTTCTTACTCAATTTCAGTGAAGCCAGATTTGACTTTGTGAATGACCTCCAGCTCCCCCACATAATTATCTGGCACATTATCACCCGACATTCTGGTAACCGAATCGTCTCAGGGATGGTTGGCACGTAGAATAAGCCTTTGAAACTGAAGCATGCGTTGAAATGATAGAGGCAGAATTGCGCTACGATCTTGCAGCTATGTGTACAATAATGATTGTATTTGTCTCTGATCCTTCCAAATAAAGGGGAAATCATTCTTCTTTTGTAATCATTTTTCAAGCAACAAAGAACTAATCGAAACTTGGATGCCTCCATCCAGCTATCCTGGTTCCGGCCTCCTGACCAGTTCAACTGTAACTGTATCACCATCTCACCTTAAAGACAACAAAGGACAAGGTAGTAAACGGACGATATATTTCTCACGCCAACTCCCGCTCCTTTATTTCTCAGGTACTGAGAGACTTTTTTTCAGCTCACACAAAACTCACTTACCCCGCACAGTATCAAAGCCTAGAAACATGGCCACTACAACTGAAGCTCCCATGAGCTTTCATGCCGGTGCTGCACTATGAAGAATGGAGGGGTTTTGCTTGATGAACCAGAAATATCCAGAGGTCACAGCCCTGGCTTCTAATACAAACAATATCCATAACTCATAAAATATTTTCTGTCAAAGTCATCAACTTCTCAGAGAATATTGGCATAAGAATGAATGCAACAATCTGGATTAAATCAATCGGGAACTAGAAGCCTACTGGGATGACAATTCCCCGTCATACTACAGACGCTGGCAGCTCGACGCCCTCGCGATGCCACCTGAGCTCCACCTTCCGCGCCCCATCCTCCACAGACTTCTGGCTGAGAGATCCGGGCACGGCGACTTCATAGAATACCACGAGAGGTTCGGCCACGACACAAGACCTACTTGCAAGTGCGGCGAACCCAGGACCCAGGGACACTTCGTGGAGTGCCGGATGGTCGCACCCTTCCTCCCAGATATCCCGGAAAAAGACCTCCTATTCGGAGCCACACATCTCACGTATCTCCTAGGCTACAAAGGCTATAAGGAGTTCCAGAAACTAGTGGAGGAAACAAGCCCGTATGGCCCCCCTCCCGCAGATATAGATTGACACTTCCCCCCCTATTTCTTTTGTCAAATTGAAACGTAGCGAACGCGGGGTCTGAACAACCGCGGCTCCTACCGTCCTAGTGCCCAGATGAGGACTTATGTAACTAGTTTACTTAGCGGACGTTAATAATAAAACAAACAAACAAACAAACAAAACATAAATCAATCGGGATTTAGTTAAGTGTTACAACTTAAGTCGAAGCAGTTTCTAGGGAGGTCAAACAAGTCCCACCAAATAAATCAGCCATATACATAACTCAGCCTCATCCGCGATTGTAGCGCTCCCATAGCTCCTAGCCATAATAGGATAATTCGAGAGCTGTTAATCATACCTCCAGGGCCTTGCTTATATAAGGAGCCACTTAGGGATTGTTGGTGATAAGTGATTAAACTACGAGGAGCATTTCTACGATGTTAGCGCATTCCTCTAGGGCTGTAATAAGATCCTGCCTGAGATTAGACAGATACGGCCTGCTGCTGATTGCCTATTCCGCTAGAGTAGCCGCCAATGGTTTAAATATATCTAGCGCAAAGACAGGTTTATGCGTGCGAAGCTGATCTGACTTTTGCAGCGCCTTCTCCATAACGTTGCCCTTGCCTGCCTGAACGTTATAGAAAGGGCTACTTTGAGCTTTGTGAGATGTTGATATTCGAACCGTACTTGAAATATAATATATTATGAAGCATTCCACCTAGAATAACATTGAAGGTTTGAAATTTCGGTTTGCGTTGTAGTTATAGAGATGGAATTGCGAAACCTCACCACCCTTTAACCTGAGGGGGCTGCGTGGGGAGATATGCATCCCACTGGGTGCAATCGAGACATATACAGCACGAAAAGATGCGGTATGCATGTACTCTGTGTGGGTAAGTGGTTAAGGCTATAGGTCGTTTAGGTGTACCTATTATATCACTTGCTACATGTGTGTGGCCACATCGACTTCCGGCCCCCACCACAAAGAGCGCAAGGCTGGCAGCCGAGTACATGTATTGCGTATATTTCTCACCACGATTCTGATTTTCTTTTCTCCTCTCTGAGGGATTTTTATCGGGCTCAGCCAAAACGGTCACTCCTTGTTCCACTACTCAAAGCTTGGAAATATGAGTGCTCCTGCAATTGAATATACCACGGAGCCGACAGCTGATGTTGATAGGCTTGTACAGAAGCCAGTTGCTGAGGGTATCTCATCAAATAGAGGCCCTATTACCCTAGTGGAGGCGTTGGAAAAATTATTTTTGCGGCAAATCAATGACGAGCAGCGGCAAGCTTTCTTGGAAGTCCTTGGAAACACTGAGACCAAATATAACAGACGAAGAGCACACACAGCTTCTCTTGTCCACAATCGTTTGGCGAAGGAATACCAGAGAACTGACAGAGAGACTGTACTTTGACCTCATAAGATACCTAGTAGATACTTACTAAGGCTCTATTGCATGTGGCAACAGCCAAACGCAGAGCCTACGAATGCAAGTGCTTGTCGTGTTAACAAAGATCATTCAATTGGTATTAGTTGATCCCTGTACATAACTCAGAGCCTTGCCAGAGAGACATGTAGAGACTAGGAGGTTACATAATTCAGCAGTATCCAAAGATCGCAACTAGCATGCAGTATGCATAACTCAGTAGTTCTTTTTTATCAAGGCCATCAGTTGTTAACCAGGAACAATCATCCCCCCACAACTCTAAGTCGGAGCGGTTTCTAAGTGGGTCGAACGAGTTCCACCAAATTAATCAGCCACACACGTGACTCAGCCTCGTCCGCGATTGTGGCGCTCCCATAGCTCCCAGCCATACTGATTCTTTCCAAATCCTCCCATCATAAGCAAACCTCCCAATTGATATCATCTTTTTTTTTTAAAACAACCACAATCCACATCAACCACAGCCTCGTCACATCCCCCAATCCCACACAACTCCTCAACAAAATGGCCAATTTCCTCGCCTCCATCTTCGGCACCGAGCTCGACAAGGTCAACTGCTCCTTCTACTTCAAAATCGGCGCCTGTCGCCACGGCGATCGCTGCTCGCGAAAACACGTCAAGCCCTCGTACAGCCAGACCATCCTCATGCCCAACCTGTACCAGAACCCGGCCTACGACCCCAAGAACAGGATGAACCCGTCGCAGCTGCAGAACCACTTTGACGCCTTTTACGAGGACATTTGGTGCGAGCTGTGCAAGTACGGCGAGCTGGAGGAACTCGTCGTCTGCGACAACAACAATGACCGTATGCTGTTCTTCCCCCCCAATCCTTTTACGAGGACTTCCATAGCTAACATTCTAAAAAAGACCTCATTGGAAACGTCTACGCCCGCTTCAAATACGAAGACTCCGCCTCCGCCGCCTGCGAAGCGCTAAACAGCCGCTGGTACGCCGCGCGCCCGATATACTGCGAGCTCAGCCCCGTCACCGACTTCCGCGAGGCCTGCTGCCGCCTCAACTCGGGCGAGGGCTGCGTCCGCGGCGGCTTCTGCAACTTCATCCACCGCAAGAACCCCAGCGACGAGCTCGACCGCGAACTCACCCTCAGCACCAAGAAGTGGCTCAAGATGCGCGGCCGCGACGAGCGGAGCGTGAGCAGGTCGCCCACGCCGGAGCCCACCAGACGGAGGTTTTAGAGAGAAAGGGGGGGGGAAAGGAGGAAACGAGTACGCGCAATCAATGGGACTGTTTTGGGAAATCAAAGGATAATTAGGGATACATGTACTCTTGCGCTCAAGGTCTGGCGTTCCGGTGGGCATCTTCTAAAGCAAAGTTAATAAGTCATCAAGAGAGAGTTTACGATTATCAGCAACGCATCTAGCACATGAAAATGAATAAGGTTGATATAGTTGATATATTTGCTAGCCCTCCCAATGCTACCGGTAGTCCCGTCGCATGCCCGTGTTAAAACCAAAAGACCTGCTCCCTGCCAACACTGAAAATTAAGCACAAATGCATCACGGTGCGCGCCCATTTATATCGTAGCCTTGCCCGATGTTGTTTGCGCCGTTATTCTGTCAAGGTATTTCCTACCCGCCTAGCCAATGATTACTCCAAAGATTTTCATTCCTCACAAGATCTTCGAACCCCTTTTTTTTTTTTTTTTTTTTTTTTGGTATAAGTCCTACAGCAGGTCGCCATCAGCTGGCAAATCCTTCTTCATGTCCTGAGCAAAGTCAATCAGGGGGCCTTCTGCGGGCTTGCCAGTCGCCGTGAGCATGCGCTCGATTTCGTCTGGTGACTTTGCAGCTGGTACGGGAGCATCTTCATTCCCAAAATCAATTAGGCTGTCCTCTTCCTTGGGCTTTGCAACCACATGGTCTATCGACTTCTTGGCCACCTTTGGCGAGGGAGCCGGTGGCGGAATGGACGTCGTGCTGTGTAATGTCTGGCCAGCTACGATGGGGTATATGGCGAGAATCTGTTCCGTCTGCTTCTCTGGAGACGCTGCGGCATCACTGTGGGGTGTTAGTTGCTTGACCAAAGATATTTTATGGGGTTGGCACCAACATATGAGCATTGATGATCCACTCCAAGTTCTCTTCGCCTTCCTCCGATTCTCCTGGTCCGCTCCTAACTGCACGGAAGAGGCGCGGAATCCATTCGACATTATCCTGGGCCCTGATAGCAGCCTCCTCGCGTTGTCGGTCTTCAATCTTTGTCTTTTCGTCCGTGGCCAGCTCGTGGTTGCGCTCTTTGACGGCCTTGGCGGTCTTTTCCCATAGTCTTTGAGATTCACGCTCTTCCTGCTCCTCGATTGGCCGGGCTAGCGGCGGGCTGGGCTTTGCTTTGATGGCGTCAAAGAACATGTCTCGGTGACCCGTCTTCAAGTTACCCATGTTAGCGAAATTCGCGAGTTCTGGAATGAGCAACTTACCCTCATATCTTTGATAAACATTTCTTCGTTCCACAGACCCGAAAGCTCAAACAAGATTTCACCAGTGCTCTCCCTTTTGATTACACCGCCAATAGCGTTGTAAGTGCCTCCAACCCAGCCCTTTGTCTTGAAATCAATGTCGGCGGTCAAATCAAGTTCGGGACACCGGACAAAGCTGTGGTCGCCAAGTTCATACTTCATCTTGCCGAATAAGATTCCTCTCGCATACATGTTGGGCTGTGTTAATATGCTACGCAAATGTTAGCAGCCAGAATCGTTACGTCGGATCCACTAGGGATGTGACTGACTATTGCTCTCCCTTGGCCTTGTTGCTGCCCCTGTTTAACAACGTAAGGAAAGCAATGCCCTCCATCAAACTGGCAGCGGAATTGCCCAGGAATCTACTCCGGGGCTTGAGGGTGCCGTCGATTCGGATGTGGTGATCAGGGGCCATGTAAAAGTAACTGGACTTGGGAGGGTGATGTGAGGTCTGTTCGGAGACGTAGTAGGCGCGCTTGTGGCCCTCGAGATCCCAGTAACAGGAGAAGATCTCGCCCAGGATCGGATTCAGCGGTTTCTTGACTCCCCTAATGCCTACTCGTTAGCCAAGTGCACCGCTTCTGTTAGAACAGAGCACATACGGTGGGCGAATATGCCAGCCGCTCAGGTAGAATTTGACGACGGATACAAAGCGTTCGGTGGGATCATCGATGGTGGGAATGTGCAGCAGCATCTCGGGGTGGCACATGAAGCTGCAACCGGGTCAGCACGGCTTCCAAGTAAGCATGGCTCCAATGCATACTTTGTTATCCTCTCGAGCATGCTTCGGGGCTCGAGAATAAAGGTGGGCAAGACTACGCGACTCAGGTCCGCGCCAGGACGCAGCTGAGAGATGATGTGCGAGAGAACTGCAGTCTGGTAAGCCCAACGATTCCATTCCTATTTCCACAGCGGCTCCAGCTCTCCATGTCGCCATGCCAAGCTTCACCTCCCCCTCCCCCGCCATGGAGTTGCGCAGCTTACCATTGCCCTGATCGGGCTCCATCACCTGGGTATCGTCATCGTTGTGGTCAATCTTGCCTTCGTCGGTTGAGGATCGATTGCCTGCGGGTTGTGCAAACCAGTTGGTTAACATTTTGGATGGCTTCGCAACAAGGGAAAATGTAGGTGTAAGGACGCAAAGCCGCGGGAGCGCTCGGGCTCACAGGACAAAGGGAATAAAAATGAATGCGCGTGTAGGGCTGCTCTCCCGGATGTGGGCAGACAAGGGGAAGGCCTCGCAGTCTCTGCTTTGCACTCGTTGTCTTGGGAGGAGCTGGGGATAAGAATTTAAGAAAAAGCAGCCATCCAGGCTCTGGAGAAATGACGGAGGCGGAGGGGTCAAATGGCACAGCACTCACTGCCAGCTGTAGACGCTCTACTCCTCCGGGGGAGAGCTAGCACGGATGAAAGCCCCATGGCCCGAAATTAAGCTGCTGTAGAGCTCGCTCGCGGGAAACAAGGGAAAAAAATTCCAGAGGCCGGCAGCCCCTCTGACTGCTAAAATTTTTTAAGATTGAGCAGAGCAAAAGCCAGGCTCAAGCATACAAGACGAGTCGTAACGAAGAGCAGATCTTCAGATTCCAAGATTGCAGCCCCCCTTCGTCTGTTCAACGTTTTGTGCTTTGGTGGGCGCAAAGACAGCGCAGCTCAGCAGCTTAAGGGTGGCGGAGTGGCGGTTACTTTGAATTGATGACTGACGTATTTTGGGGCGAGTTGAGAGCTTAGTAGGTCTAATGGAGTAAAAACGATGGCTCAAGCCCGCGACCCCAGGAGAGTGCTTAGCAGAAGCGAGAAGGGGAGAGAAGCGAGGAGAAATGAGGACAGAAGGAAGAGAAAAAAAGAAAAAGAAAAAAAAGAAGCGAAGACAGGAAGAAAGAAGCTACGTCAAGCTAGAAAGCCAGGGTGTTGTCAGTCTGGTATTAGCCAAGAATCAAGAAAACGTTCTTTGTACTCCTACTACACTGCTGCATGTGTGTATGAGCTGATCTACTAACGTTACTGGCTAAACCCATGTACTCTTTATTTACAAGGCCTGCAGCCACCAGGAGATGAATCCGTCCGGCGGATGTCGTCGGCCGGCTATTGCACATAGGCTGCATCTTAAAAGAATCCGGGTGCCTATCGAGGAGAACGGGGAATACGTAAGGATATTCGTACTGGGCACTCGAGGCCTCCCCCAGTTTCTTGGGAGGTGCTAGAAGGGGCTCGACCTCTCACGATGATGCCATACCTCAGATTAACAAAGGGCGGAAAAAAAAGCTGAGTGAGGGACAGCCACATGTAAATCCACGCCTTTCTTTGTACCGCTTTGGCAAAATACGAGGTATCCAGTACCTGTTGGGAACCACATCATCACATGCCAATTACGTACTCTCTACATGAATCTATGACGTTGCCGCTAGACCCCGTCATAGGGCCAACGAAATCTAGCCGTTGGGCAATGTACTCGGTACCTGCGACAGCTCTCCGTTTCTTTCTCCAAGCTTGATTATCTCAGCGGGGCACGCACCCAAACCACGGCAGCATTCGTCCTCGCCGCGTGTTGCCGTGACGAAGCATTGCATTTCCAGGGACGCAATCTGCATGAGTCCTGCATACCTGCACAGGAACACATCCTTACCTGCTGCTAGGTACCATAGTAAGTAGGCAGTACACACGCATGTCACGATACCTCAGCTGCTAGCCAAGCCGACACGCCGGCTAAGGTACTAGCTACTCACAACTACTGCACAGCTCTCCCAGTCAGATCTGGCATCGTGCCAATATACCGCCTTATTACTGGATCCCAAGCATCTCTCCAGACAGCGCACGGCACATTAGGCATGTACTCTTACCCCTACTTACTGTACTCAGAAAGGAAACAAAAATAGAAAAAAATGAGCATGATTACTGTATCTCTACCTACTTTCTACAAGGTACTGTACCTCTCCAGTTCGAGCCAGATATTGCAGCAGTAAGCTAGCAAGCAGTAATTACAAGACCAAGCCATAAGCAGCCAACAAAATTCTCTTACCGCCGTCCAAGAAAACATGACGGGACAGAGAAAAAAAAATTAATTAATACAACATGTTAGCAAATCCCAACAAAATCCCCCCTTCCCTCTCCAAAACCAAAACCAAAAACCCGACTTTCCCTTTTCTTTACTTCCCCATAATACTTCGGTCGCTGGAACCCTCTCCGAGCCGCGGCCAACGCACCTCGGAGTCGATATAAAGTCCGGCCATAACCATGCAAAATGCCACTGCAAATAAATGAATCCAGGAGCCCGCGCAAAAAAAACCAACAACCCAGGGCTTTAAAACCAGATGAAGCTCCGTGTCCCGCCGCTCCCGAGTCGGCACATGGGGAATGACTTTGCCGCTACAGCCTCATGCAGTTAGGGAGGGGGGCGCCTGATCGGGGAGAGGCGGCCTTCTTGTTTCCCGATTATCCTAGGTGAAGAAACATAAAAAAGATTGCCACCGCCTTGATTACTATATGCTTCCTAACTATGTTGTTCCGGCTGACAGAACATTGATATCATGATCACAGCTCTACAAGGGAACTACTGGCTCTGGCGATCTCACAAGGACAGAGACTAGCCGGTATTGTGCATGTCACACAGAGTCCTCAATACGGCATCTCATCTGCAGACCACATGCTCCAAGTATGCTAGCTTGCCCATCCGCTTTTCAAAGAGGGCATCCAGTTCTAGAAATGTAGAAGAGAGAGAAAGAAAAAGCCAAAAAGCCAAAGCCAAAAAGCTAAAGCCAAAAAAACCACTCTAGATATATACACATACTATTATCTTCATGGCTGATCCATAGTTGCACATGGACGCCCGGGGGAATACGAAGGGGGGGAAATAGTCTTTAAGCTCTCTCCGCCAATGCTTGCAAGAAAAGTACATCCATCGCTAAATCCGACACTGCTCTTTATATCAGGTCATGCCTCTGCCCTTCCCTTTTCTTCTCTCTTGGGTATTGTCATATACGCTTCCACGGAGCGACGGGCCGCTTGCTCTACCGGTAGATAAGCCTAACCAATGGCTCCTTTTCTTTTCCTCGTGGCTCCTCCTCTACTCCCTGCTCCGCCTTTTCGTCCTTGTTGCAGGTATATCCACGATGCCAACAATCCACTCCAAACTCCGGCCCGCTACAAAGCGCGGCTGCATACCGCTTTGCTGGATAGCAGCACCTAGGCAAGTGTGTTTGGAAGCTGCTGCAGCGCGACCACTGCTCATGCGCATCGTTATCGGCTGATGGGAGTTACCATGTACGTATCCGCGTTAGCCGCTATCCCGCTCATTTCATTCGTGATATCCTCGAAGAACCCTTGATGGAGGCTGGAAGACACTGAGCTAGACGATCCCGGTCTATGTAACAGTCAGTAACAGCTCAGACTCTGCACCGCAGTATTTTCGGTATACACCAAAAAAAAGGAAGAGAAAAAATTAAAGTCCTCCACTCCTTGGAACGGAAACCACGTGGCTTACCTTCTTCGCTTTCAAACATGATGGAGATATCGTCGTGCTCACCCGGTAGATCCGGGAGATCTAGGCAGACAAAGGCCATGTCGTCGTAGTCGCCGTCCTTGTCGGCCGGCAGCCGCGGGAGCGGAAATTTGGCATCGACAAACCGAATGCCCGACTTGCTGCCTCTGTGGAAAGCCTCGTAAAGATCGGTGCCCTTGAGCACAAAATTCATGCAGTGCCCGTGGCTGAACTCTTCAAAGAATGCCAGCAACTGCAGCTGCTTGTCTTCTTGCCTGATGACCTGAATTCTGGTATATCCCGCCTCCCACTTCTTGTGAATGGGCACAACCATGCGACGCCGCGCAATGGCAAATGTGACTGCCAGCGCATCGAAAATGACTTCAAAGCCAAAGACTGCGTGTTGGAAGGCGTGGAGGTCCTTGAGGCTGCTGAACTCGATTGACCGTATCGTCTGGTTCATTTTGATGAGCTGCAGCGAGTCCCACATATTCCGCGGCACGTCCTTGCCCACTTGCGATTCAGCGATTGCAATCGTCATGTCCTGCTGTGGTTGGCGGAGGAGCTTGAGCACTTTGGCGTTGCTGACCTCTAGGCGCATTCGCAGTTCCCCGGGTTCGACGTTGATTCTGTCAGTTATGGTACCGTACTGATGCTCCAGGACAATCCTCAGCCTGTCCGCAAGGACCGTGGGGGGAGCATCTCCCTCGGAGCCGTACTCGTCATTCACGACTCTGCCGGCCTTCCACTGCAGCCGGCTAAAAGGCGCCATGCCAAGTGGCTCACGAAGACTTTGGGCAATGGTAACGCCGGTAACTTGTACATCGGTAAAGACCTTCTCACCGGGTTCTATAGACGTGCCGGTGAGCAGCGAGTGGAAGCGAGTGCGTTCCTTTTCGTCGCTAAACACCATAACCATTCGGCCTTTCTGCCGACCGTTTTCAAACTTGACTGAAAAGGCTGGCAGGTCTCCTTCGGCTCTAAAGAATCCAAACTGCACTGGCAGTGGTGGAGGATAGGTGTGAGATACTCCGCATGCCGTTCTCGTCTTTGGCCCAGTAACAACTGCTATGCGGAGCCCGGTGTGCCAGCATCGTTGTCCCTGTGGTCCATTCTCCTTGCGGAGCTTTTCGAAGAGGGCTAGGTCGCAAGAAGGTATCGGATCCTTGGGGAATGCTCGGGAGTTGGGGTCCGCATCCAGGTACTGGAAGGATTTGAGTGTGTTTCGAAACACCACCTGCTCGTCTGGCCGCGGCTGGAGCGTTTGCTGGAGCTTCGAGGCGTAGTCGTACATGTTGTAAAGCATTCTGTAGTCGCTCTGTGACAGCTGTACCGACAGCTTGAAGCCACGGGGCAGACGTAGGTCAAAGGAAGAAGTCTCGGGTCTCCAGCGAATGTCCTCCCAGCATGGCCCGCCTGCGCTTGTTCGATCTTGGATTGGCAGTTGGATGTTGCCGTCCTGGCTAGAAAGGACAAAGATGAGTCCGTTCTGCTTGGTGGGCCGAACCAGAGACAGCATGCAGAGGAAGCGCAACTGCTTGTTCTCCCTCCCTTGCTCCATGAGGTAAACCTCGGCGGGCAATCTGCCGTAGCAAAACGTTTCCGCCGTATCGCCCACGGGGAAAGCGTCCAGCAGCTCGAGGTAGGTCATGGGGTGCTGCATCGCGGTCAGGCCGCCGCCCCAGTTGCCCGTCAGCAAGGCGACCATATCCTGGCTCAGCGGAGGATATTCCACCCAGATGGACTTGTCAATGGTCTGCGGTAGCACGGCATCTTCCGGAGGGAGAATTTGGTTTCGCTTCATCGAGATGGCAAGTTTCGTCAGAGCCGTCACCAGATTTTGAGCCACGTCCGCAACCTCGGCATCTGGCGCCAGGCCTTGAGATTCAACGAGGTTGGGGAGGATTTCCTGGCAGAGCCAATACGATTTGGCCAGGTTAGAGTGCGCCTGCTGTCGGTCTAGGTCGAGCTGCATTTGCGACTGGGGAGTAGTTGGGCGGTCACGAATAGCTGCCTCCAAGCCCATTCTGCCTCTCAAAAACCACCAAAGACTTCCTCGCGCAAGCTGCGACTGGGAACAAGATGACAGCGGCCGTACTTGCTCGGCATGTAGACGGAATAGCGCAAAGAGATGCCTGCTTCTGGCAACAAAAGTCTTGAGGGCTTCGCTGCCGGCTACCGCGTCAGTGACACGAACCGAGAGCGCTCTCGAAGCCATGGACGGTGGAGCGCGGGGCGGGGGGTCATTCTGGGAGCTGCCGCTTGGGCGTCGCGGAATGTCGCGTAACGACTTTGATGCAGTTGGATTGCTCGGCGACGGGTAGGTGCTGGAGTTTGTAGACATGGAGGTAACAGGGCTGTAGTCGGTAGTTGGCCTGGCCTGGGCTTCGGGAGACGTAGGTTCTGGGGAATCGTTTAGCTCGCGGGATGAGGGCAGCTTCCTCTCACCCCAATCATGCTCGGATGCTGCACTGGCGGTGCGGGCAGCCTTGGCAAAGGCCCTTCCCTCCGCCAGTGCCATCTGGGCCTGATGAATCTCGATGAAGGACTTTCTGTTTTCATCAGTGTTGCTTGAAACTCCCAAGAGGTTTCTACTAGGGGTCTGTGGTTCCAGCATCGACGAATTGGTCCTCGTCTTTGGCAGGGGCCTGGGCTCGGGCTCGGGGCTGTAGATGGACGAGTAGCCGGTTTGGGTTCGAGATATGGGCTTTGGTACGAAGTCATCCTGCAAGGACGACAGATCGTTGTTGGAGTAAGAGGGCCTGCTCGAAGGTGGGTTCGGCCGACTCTGAGGCGGTGTCGGTGGGGGAGGTTGCTGGCGGTCCTTCTTCCTCCTCGATATCTCTATCGTTGGCGTCTCGGACTCGTCACCGCCTTCGCCCATGATCTCGGGGTATGATTCCGTGAACCTCACCGAGAGGCCCTTGCGGCTCGGTCGTGGGCTTCGCTTTGGAGATCGGACATCATTGCCAGCGCCTGGAGCTACAGTGCGGATCTGCTGAGCTTGCTGAGCTTGGGGGAAGCGAGAGATGCTGGTGTCCAGCTTGGGCAGCGAGAGCGAGACCTGGGGAGGAAGCGGTGGCGGCGGGTGGGAGACGTTGAGCGTGTCGGCAGAGCTGTGCAGGAAGGCATCTACAGATGCGGCGTTGGCCGACTCCTCAGCTTTGCGGTCCTTGCCAAACAGCTTGCCCATGAGGCGGCCTCGCTTCTTCTTAGACTCGCCATCGTCGGCCACGTAGGACTGGGCGCTCTCCATTGCTAGGTTGGCGATGCTGCTCTGCTTGGGGGGAGATGTTCAGTCACACACTCTCTCTCAGTCTCTCTCAGTCTGTCTCCTGGATTTGGGGGCGCACCGGTCCTGGCCTCGTACGTGGTTGGTTCCCCCGTCACCGGCTCTGGAAAAACACTGGCAGCGAGGAGTCTGACTCCCCGTGCGCAACCAGGTGCTTGTGGCTAATGGAGCTCAATGCTGAACGGACGATGAAGCTGCAAACCGAATGTTTTTTGTGGCCGCCAGCATATGCAGAAAAGGTGCAGGCTGGCCCTCTTGGCATGGGGCGGGAATGTGGTGTAGATTGCTGCCAGCTCGCCTTTTGGGATGGATGGGACAGACACTCTTCGGTACAAGTAGGTACGAGTATAGTAGTACTGGGCCAGGTATAGTACCTAGGTAGGTAGTACCTCGTCCGCCTTTACATATGTCAGTACCGTTTAGTACTCGCGGACGAGGCAGGTACAACAGAGATTATTGGGATTTGCTGGCTATGTCGTCACGAGGGAATCCAATTGGACTTGATCGGCATGTCCAGGGAATGACAAGGGAGTTTCAGAGCATTCAAGACGGCTAGACCACAGCTTGCAACCCACAGCCCTTTGGCGATGGAGACCCTTATCACAGACAAAGACCCAGGGGTGTGCAGGTAAGGTCCCGTAGGTACTAACAATGTACAGTACCTGGGGAGTACATCCAAGCGAGAGAGCGCCTGCAGGTGCCCTGCCCAGGCACTGAACCTACTGGGTACGAGGACCTATTCTTGCAGCAGGCTGGCGGTTGATACGAAAGAGTTTAAATGGTGCTCGTATTCCAGCGCTCAACACCTATTGTTTACATTGGATGGCCTCGTACTCTTGCTGCGGTGCTTCATCATTTTCCCCTCATCCCTCATGCAAGCGCCACACCATCGAACCCACCACGATGGACTCACTCTGTGCTACCTACTAGGTATGTCGAACCTGTAGCAGCAACTGGGCCCTTTTCCTCCTCCCAGCGACCCCAGTGACCACTCCCCCACCAACCAAGCCCCTGAAGTCTCGGGGGCTAGAGTGGACCAGGCCCATGGCGGCGCGCCTAATTCGCTCTGGGCGGTCGCTAACTGGTACCTTTTCTTTCAGGTGATGTAGGTACTAGACACACATGCTGCGAGAGGTGTCTGGTTGCATGGGCTAAGCCCCGAGCTTGCAGCCTTTTGCTGAAGTCAACAGGCGAGTTGAGGCCAATAAATAGCTCCTCTGATAGCATTGGATATTATTGACCTGTTGGTACTGCAACTCTCATGTCCGAGGCGTGCATGAACGCTACGGCACTCGCCATTCAATGCTCTTTGTCTGCGTGCCGCTTCTGACGTTGGACCTCCCCTAATCCCCTGCGCGCCAGAACCGCCTGTTGGGGCCGGGATCAATGGATTGATGCCTCAATAGGGAACGGATCCCTGAAACTAACGCCCTGACCACCAGAACCTCAAACCGAATATTGGAGGATGGCGCATCATACTAACTGCTGCTGGCACTGGGTACTAGTACTACTTTACTTGATATCGTCAAATGTTTATTTCCCTCGATATCGTTCCCTGGTTCTCGCTCCTTAAAATAAGGGAGTCACTATTCAGCACCCCACGCTAGCTACTGAGCATCCGGTTCTTAAATTTAAAGCGGCCTGGGTAGTAAGGATAGCAGATGATAGTCCAGGAATGGTGATAAAAGATCTTTGTTCTGCGTTGTTACGACATTCGGAACTCTTCCCTAAAATAAACAAAGCTCAGCAGGCAGCACAAAGGAGGCCCAGGAATGGAGCCGAAATATTCGCTGTAATTGCCCGTCCTCCAATGTTTCGAAATCCTGAGTCAAATTGATCGAATAAAAGATTTGTCGAATGCCGGGGCTCGAAAGGCGCTCGTAAAAAATAATCGATAATTGACCCACGAATATTGCAGCCCTTTTCATCCAAAGCGTGCCAGCCCGCGGCGACGAATCAAGATCTCTCGTCGGCAAACACGAGGTAATCGAGCCCCAAAATCTTTGTGCGCTCGAGATCGGACCTCGTAAACGTGGGTTGACACCTGAGACTAGCAGACGCCTCTCGGCACATGCGACAAAAATAGACGCGGCTCGCATACATCACGAATGAGACGGCTCAGGTAATCGAATAAACATCGTATCACCGTCGGGGAATATGCTTGAAATAGTTTCTATTATTTTGTTCCCGGGTCCAGCCTCGACGTCTGCTCCACCAGAATAGGATAGCCCTGACTAATTCCGGAACCAAAATATCTACTACTATTCTTCACATCCATCAGCTGTGTCTACCTTACAAACCCACTCACCTAACAAGAGGCAGCCTGCCAAGTTCTTACTATGTACCTTGGCTGTACATTACTAGGTAGTACCTACTGTATGAAGTCTTGTCTCGCTGCCGAGCCTTGGATACCACCTCACTCAACCTGCAGCAATCTACTACATGCAGCCCCCGCCAAATTGAAGTTTGCCGTTAATATTGTCACGCGACCTTAATTTCTCCTAATATTGCAGGCCTTATCAACGGCAATTTAGCCAATATTCATCTACCCATGGCCTGTGTCACAACCCCGTCCAGCTACTTTTAAGATTATGTGCATTCCCATCGTTGCTGCATGGTGAATCGCGCATTCCAGGAGCGCACACTCGTAATTTGGCGACTGAATATTGCCTCCCCATTTCCACATTTTGGTCTCGCCCGCACAGACATACAGGTGGCTGAAACTAGAAGGGCAAATCAGTCAAAGGCGGAACAGGTTTCAAAGGGCCCGGCTCCGAGTTCGGATCCACTTCGGCGCAGTCTCCAGTTTTAAACGATGGGAGATGCCGTTATCGATAAGAGATATGGCCGATAAGCGCTAGTTGAATCATTTGTCGCAATATCCCACCTGTGGTTAGCATTTTGGATTTTGGATTTTGGATTTTGTAATCAAACAAGAACATTCTTGCGCCTTGCGCCAACGTGGCATGCTCAGGTTGCTGAACAGAATCATGGCTTCAGAGGTCAAAATGGTTCCGATTCCTCGCCGCGGCGTCGATTACCGCGGCAAGGTCGTTCTTGCGCCGATGGTGCGCTCTGGAGAACTTCCCTCTCGGCTGCTCGCGCTCAAGTACGGCGCTGACCTTGTGTGGGGTGAGTAAAGAGGCAAGCCTTTTTGTGGCATTGATTTGTTTCTGACATGGTTATTCCAGGCCCGGAAACAGTCGATCGAGCAATGATTGGAACAACGAGGCGATATAACGAGGCGACACAAACAGTCGAGTGGTTCAGAGTGGCCTCCCACGGCCAGAAAGAACCGCCACCGGATGCAAAGGAAAATATCATCTACGCAACTCACCCCGAGAAGGAAAAGGGCAAGCTCATCTTTCAGATTGGAACCTCAGACCCGGATCGCGCACTGGAAGCCGCAAGGCTGGTCGCAGCGGATGTTGCCGGCATAGACGTCAACGCCGGATGCCCGAAACCCTTCAGCACAAGCGGAGGCATGGGTGCTGCCCTATTGCGAACTCCGGACAAGCTGGTTGCTATTCTGGAAAAATTAGTCCAGAACATCACTCCTGAATTCGAAATCGGCATCAGCGTCAAGATTCGCATTCTTGAGACGCCGGCCGAGACCGAAGCCCTTGTTAGAAGACTTGTCGCCACAGGTATTACAGGCCTCACGGTTCATTGCCGAACAACACCAATGCGACCCCGCGAGCGTGCCATCCGTGGCCAATTGCGCATGATTGCAGAGATTTGCCACGAGGCTGGCGTGGCTTGCTTGATGAATGGAGATGTGGAATCCAAGGATGAAGGACTAAAGCTAGCAGAGGAATTCGGCGCAGATGGTGCCATGATTGCCACATCCGCTGAAAAGAATCCCAGCTGCTTCAGGACCCAGGCTGATGGAGGCCTTGCCCCCTGGGAAGAAGTCGTCAAGGAATATGTCAAGACATGCATGGACGTCGAGAACCGATTCGGCAACACGAAATATCTCCTGGCCCAGATGGTCCCTGGAAAAGCCGGGCTCCACCAGCCCTTGACCCAGAGCAAGAGCTACTCAGATGTTTGCAGGATGCTGGGCCATGAAGAGTTTATGGAGCAAGCCCGAGAAGCGGACGTCAGGCGAGGACTCGACAAGCCACCCGTAAAGCAGTCGAAAAAGGGCAAATCAAATGCCGCTGCCCTGGCCGCCGGCAGACAGACGGGACAGGCAAGAGTTAAAACACAACAGAAAAAGGCGCTGTCAGAGCGAGGAGCCACAGCACAGTCAGAGCCTGAACCATTGCCAATTGCTTCTGTTGGATAAGAAGGGGAGAGGAAATATATTAGACAAAAGGAGGAAGATATAAAGGATGCATCACGGGCGGAGTTTGGGAGGGAGGCGGTTCTTGAAATTAACGCAGCATGAGGGATGCCCTGCGCGTGGCGACCACACCACCCATGATAGACACGAATTTACATAGTTGAGCCATTCGAAATATGAACCAGGTCTGAATAATAATTCTGAAATGCGTCTGTTTACTATCTCTCATGTATTTTATGCAGCCCACGGCCCCTCTTTTTTCTTTTCTGCCTCGTCTCGACCCATTTTTTGAAGCTCTCATATGAACAAAATGAGATGTAGAACAGGTATAAAAAAAAATATCTATGTGATGGTACAATCGCTTTTTAAAATTAACACATGTTTTCACCCCTCTCCTGCTTTATTTGCCCTGCGCAACCCAGTTCTCAACCGCCTCGCGGACGTTGGTGACCTTGTCGTCGACGTATTGTACACCCACCTCCCTGTGGACCTTTGCAAAGTGAATGCCCTTCTGGATGCCTTCGCGCAGCTTGATGTGGGATTCAGCCACGACGGGGAACTTTTGCTCGTACTTCCAGGCAAGGTCGGACACGTTGCGCATGGTGATGGGGAGCACCGTCCAACCGGCACCGACGCCGAGGGCAAA